TGGAAGACCTGCCTCGACACCCTTAAACCCTTAAAGGAAACCCTTATAATGAATACTCATTGTTGTCCTTGAAGGAAAAGGAGCCCTTGAAAAGGGGCAAAAACCCTTAGCCTTAAAACCTTAAAGAAGCGCTTAGAGGGGTTCCTATGAATCCTGGAAGGTTGGTAGTACCTATAGTAACCCTTGAAGGGGCATTTAAAGGAGCCCTTAAGAATCCTAGACCCTAACCCCTGAAAGGAGCCCTTAAAGACCCTAAACCCTAAACCCTAAAACCTAAACCCCCCAATCTTAAAGCTTAATCCCCTAACCCCTAAACCCTGAACCTTAACCGTTCTACTTACCCCGGAAGGCCATCATGTAAACACCCCCCCTGAACCCCAAACCCTTAAAGGGGTTCCTATGAATCCTTGGACAAGGCCGGCCCTAAAGGGGGATGTGGACGAGTTGTGGCAGCTGATTTGGCTGGCGCTCAGCTCGGGACCGGAGAGCTTACAGAAAGTGCGTTTTTCGGGTTTGTAAAGGGGCTTTGATGGGCGATTTAAAAGGGGCCCTAAACCCTCAAGCTTCAACCCCCTTATAATTAGAAGCCTTATAGATCCATTTCAAGGAGCCCTTATGGATCCCTTAAAGGGGGTCTCCAGGCATTTATGAGGGATCTAATGGTTCATGAGGGTTCATAAGGAACCTCTCGTTTAGAAGGGGTTCACAAGGAATCTCCAGGGCTTATAAGGGGTTTAGGGTTTAGGTTTAGGGTTTAGGGTTTAGGGTTTTGATAAGGGGTTATAAGGGGTCTAGAGGGATCTAGAATCGATCTAAACCCTGCGAGGTTTGAGGTTTAGGGTATGGGGTTTAGAGATTTAGGGTTTAATGTTTCAGGGCTGAAGTTCGGGGGCAGTGGTTTTTAAGGGCGGCTCCGTTCAGGAACTGTCGGGTTCAAGGGTTTCGGGCTTGGGGCATACAGAACCCTTGTAAGAACTCTTATTACTTACAGTACCCTTCTAGTAGCCCATGATAGAACCCCTATAGAATAGAAACCCTAAAGCCCGAACACCCTCAACCCTAAAACCCTAAATCTTAGAACCTAAACCCCAAGCCTTAATCCCAAACCCTAAGCCCTTAAAGGAACACTTATAATAACCCTAAAGCCCGGAAAAGAACCCCTACGATAACCCTGAAGCTCTTACAGTAGAAGCCAGAAAGTTGGAATATCATGATCGTATCCCCTTTAAGGTAAACTATAGGGTATCCTACCATTAATCCATATTCCAACTTTCTGGAGTTCCCTATAAAGGAAACCTCATAGTATCCCTCAAGCCCTGCCCTAAAGCCCGGAAGAGCCGAAAATCGGGTCGCAGGTGCCGAGCCTTCATCGCTCACTGCAGCTTCTGCAGGCCTCCCCGAAAGCCTACCTGGACCCTAATAAGGAACCTACTGTTTTAGGGTTCCCTCGTATGATTTCTTTGTACAAGTCCTTAAAAAGGTGGGTTACTTGGGGTTAAGGTATGGGTTAGAGTTTAGTGGTTCAGGTTCTATGGTTTAGGGCTTGGGGTTTAGGGGTTTAGGGTTTTAGGGTTCAGGGTTTAGGGTTAAGGTTTAGGGGTTCTGGTGTTTATTGTGGACTTGCGGTTTCTTTAAGGGTTTAGAGCTTAGTGGGGATTTAGGGCTCATTTTGACTTTGGGTTTTGGGGCTTATTGTGGGTTTAGGGTATCCAAAACCCGACACCCGGAAAAAGGCTCAGCCCTAAACTCTAAAAGCCTTAAGCCCTAAGCCCGAAACTGTTGGGCCCCAAACCCTAAAACCCTACAGTAACGGTCCGCGTATCCGAAGATTGTAAGGGTACGTTGGCCCCAAAAATGACGTATCGGGCCACTTGAGCGCATGGACCCTTAAAGACTGGTTAAACGCGAAGAAACCGCCACAACCCCCAAAATATGGGTTCTGAAACCCTAAACCCTTATGGTATTTGTGAAGGAACCATAAAGGCCTTAAAGGAGCCGTTGAAGGAACCCTTAGAGGAACCCCAAATTTGGGCACATGGACCCATAGGGAAACCCTAATTTCTGCAGGCCATCCACCTCTCCTGGATGCAGAAGGTCGGGCTCGGGGAGAGGAGTAGGAATTCTCCCCGTGTCTTGGGTTGAGGGCCTTTAGGGCCTTTAGGGTTTAGGGTTCAGGGTCTTCGGCTCTGTTTTTGGTATAAGGGTTGGGATTTATAACGGTTTGGGGTTTAGGTATTGGGTTTGGCATTTGGGCTTTCAGGTTCGAGCCATCTCGCGTGCGGCTTGTTTTTGAAGTCCGTCTTGCTCCCCTCTTGTTTGCAAGATCGCTGGAAGCTCAGCCGACAGATTCCGGCGCCAGACGCCAAACAGTGAAGGCATCTGCTACCCGAAAACACCGAACTCTACAGCCCAAGCCCTCCAAGCATGCAGTCGACAGTGCTTGAAAGCCCTAAACCCTAAAGGCCAAGGCCTAAACCCGAAACCCTACAGGTATGGCTGCTTCAGCACATCCGGATACTTTGCGATCGTTTGCCGGGATGCTTGGAATTTTGTGGGTTTAGGATTTGGGAGGTTTAGGGTGTAGGAACGTTGTTCAAGTTCGTGACTTTTCTTCCATGTTCCGTGGAGCATTTGACTTTTGCTTTCCTTATCGGAGCTTGTCTTGTTGGAGTAGCGTGCAATGAAGTGTTCCTGTAGTTCCGGTGAAGGGGGGAACTTCCATGGAGAAGAATACTTTGGAATTAAGGATGTGTCCTAAAGTTCTTGGTAGAAAGACAAACCCCAAACCCGTATTCCGTATTCCAACACCTCTAGACTCCTTGTAGTACTATTCAACCCTAAACCCCTAAACCCTAAGCCCCCCAGCTGATCCTTTCAGGACCCTAGAGCCCATGCGGTCCCAAAGCCATATAGCGAACCACAACAGCCCCATCCAGGAACCTCCAAGTACCTGAGGTCCTCCTGGTTAGACGGCCTGGACACCAGCAGGTCCCTGGAGGTCCTCGCCGTGTGGTTTTTGTGGGGTTTGGCGGGGCCTTCTAAAGGGGTTAGGTGGAGGGTCGTTATAAAAAGGGTGACTCTGCGGAGTTATACATTAACATCCCTTTAAGGGTTCTTTAAAGGGTTTTTGCAAAGTTGCTGGGTCCGGAAGCTCGCTTTTGGAGGGTCGGGGGACTCAGTAAATTTGTTGTCTTCTGGACTTATCAGTACCATAAGGCCAATTAGGGTCCTGTTTAGGGTATTTATAAGTCTACTTATTGCCTACTTACTAAGTCCCCCGACCTTCCAAGTAAAGATTAAGGGTTATGTTTGGGTGTGAGGGCTTTATGAATGGGGCTACTTTTCCTCCCTAACTCTAAATCCTGAACCATACAGCCGCCCAAATCCGCAAACCATAAACCCTGCATTTGGGGGCATTGGCTTGGGATTTCTTCGGGCTTACGGAGTTTTCGGTGTTAGGTTTGTAGGCCGCGGGGTATGAGGCACCTGGTAAGGGCCTGACAGGGGCTTGGGTACCTACGTCTTTGTAGGTCTGTACTACTATTTGCTTAAGAACCCCCCCAAAAAATAAAAATAATAATCCCTATATTACCACCATAAGGAATATATTTTTTATTTTTTGGTGGTTCTTAAGCAAATAGTAGTGTATGGTTGGGAATCTTACAGGGTGTTGTTTCTGTGTGGTTTAGGGGTTGGGCTTCCTATGATTGTGAAGGTTTCTCTTCGGTTTGATTATCTTGCCATGGGTCCTGACGCCGGGAGTGCGGTTTTGCTGAAATCTGAGCCTGCGCTGATCCCCTCGTGAGAATCGTTCGATGATGTTGATTCTAGTGCCTTGCAACAAGCCGGCTGGAGGAATCTGAGGTGTCCATTGAGGGTTGGGAGAGGTTGTTTGGATTGTTGAAGTTGCATATCGAACGCACCACTGCCATACACCACTTACCAAGTCGAGTCAACCATCGCATATAGCAGTCGTAGAACATCATCTTGTGTTCATTCTTCCGCTAAACCATATGACCCCCCCCCCCCCGAACAAATTGGCATTTTACTCTGATCCTGATACCTCGAGCTTGTCAGCAACCGGCACTGTTGGACCATAGCCACCAAGATTCATGTTGGTCTTGCCACAGGTCCTTCTGTCAAAACGGCAGGAGTGAGCCTTCGGGACACTGCTGAGAAAATGCAAGGTTGGATCTCGCTCGTAAATTTTCTTCTCCCAAAATTCAGTTTCTTTCATCTTCTTTACGTCAAGTTCAGAATCCCTACACCATGGGGTTCAGATAGCGAGGTTCAAACCCCCAACGATGATACTGATGCATCGCCCACGGCACACGTCCGCAGACTTTGGCACGAATACCGTGCTGAACGACGGATGTAACATCGCATCACAGCGACGGAGTGCTACAGTGCAGGCTTTCTCCAGCGAAGTCCAGCTACCCATTGAGGATTATTTACACGGAATTTGGTATGGTAACCCATCGTCTAGGCAACTGGGCTTCCTAGCGTTTGGGTTTAGGGATTTCTGCTCGGCATACTCAAGAGAAGCTCGGCCGGTAGCCTGTTGTAGTTAACTCGTTTGAAGATTAAAACTGGGCGTCTACAGATCCATCCCCCTTGAAGCAGGGAAAGTTTTTCGGACAAGACCTTCAAGCACTCAAGTGTAGCTGCTTGTGGGGTCGGTGTCCGAAGGTGTCAAGGTCTTTCGACGAACAGCCTGGATGAGTTGTCCGAGCAAGGGACGACCTGCAATCATGATAAGAAGGAGTCTAGGGTTTAATGTTTCTGGTTTGGGGCTTAATCTTGGCGGTTTCGAGTTTGGGGTGAGTCTCTACATGCTGCCAATCATGATCACGTTCCTACTATTTCAACCTTGGTATTGACAGATCTGCTTGTGCAGAGGAAAAGGTACCCAACCTGGACGATCGTGATCCTCCGAATCGAAAGGAGACTGCTGAGGCCAGTGCGCACAGTGACACAGTGTGCCTTTACAGGAAACTTGCATGTCAGCCACAAGCCTTGCTTCTTGTCCAAGCTCGCGCCTCTGTAGAGCTAATGTTCCTCAACGATTCTGCCCCCCCATGCTGCCTTGGGCCTGGGCTGGCTTCAGTGCGCCATCTCTTCCGGCACCACCGTCTGCACCTGTGCCGGCTGCTCTAAAATCACTGCGGGGGACGCGGAGGTTTAGAATTTCCCAACACGTGAGGTTCGGGTCTGGGAGACACTCACTCACAGCCCCTGATTGGCGCCGCACCTTTCGGCAGAAGGCCATCGAATTTCGAGGAGCACTGCATTCACGAGCCTTGACCACAGGTCAGCGCGAGGACTCTGAGCGCTGGCGCGCGCTAAGCTTGCCGCAGAAGCTACTGCAACCAGTGCAGCTGTTTGTTGCCATTTGGCTGCTGTTGCTGCTCCCTGCTGGTCTGGCATCCTCCCCAAGAAAGCTTTGCGGAGGCTTCGCGCTGGGATCTTTACCCTTTGAGTACTTGATCTTTTTCAGTGTCGGCACCCTACCCAGAGCTTGGAAATATGGGCGCTATGCCAAGCCACCCGACTCCTCCGCTAAGCCGGGCACAAGGCGGAGCGACTTCGTCCTCTTCCTCCTCTGTGTCTAGGATGCCCAGTAGTACCCTTATTCCCTTTTTGTAGTCCTAGGTTCCTTATAAAGTCACCCAATACCAAAAAGAGAGGCCTTTTCATTCTTAGGTTACTGGGTATCCTAGGTGTGCTCATTGCTCACGCCACTGCCGCTTTTCGCTTCGTTTCCGCACATCAGACACAACCCTGGGATGGGTGGCTGGGCTCGGTTTTTTCAGCTAATTACCATATAGGGTTTAGGGTTTAGGAGTTTAGGGTTTAGGGTATACTGACCCTAAAAACTGCCTGAAGTCATAGTAGCTTAGGTGCTTGAACCCAGGATATTGCGAGCCGTCCGGCTTTCTGCCATCGTTCTAACGGCCCTGGCAGCTTGGCATTTGGGACGCAACTACGACCGCGTAGCCGCCTCGTCTGAGCTTGTCACAACTGGGCCGTACCTGGGGATCCAAACCCAGACCTTCCTAAATCCCTTAATTAAGGAATATACCTTAAACCATATTATAGGGATCCCTAATATGATTTAAGGTATATTCCTTAATTAAGGGATTTTGGAAGGTCTGGGAAGAAACATTTGTTGCTTTAGAGAGGGGTTATACCCTACGATGGCGTGGTCAGGAGTCCATAAGCTGTTCTGTGTGGTCTGGAGTTGCAGGTACAAGCTGGTGAGGCATCCTATCTATCTGTCCTATCTCCTGCTTTTTGCTGGTAGCTTGCTGTATCTTCAGTCCTTTCTCGGCTCGGTGATTCTGCTCGCAGCCGCCGCAGTTTTCTACTCCCGTCGGATCCCAGCAGAGGAGGAGATTCTTCGTCAGACCTTTGGTGATCGCTGGGATGCCTTTTGCACCTCTACACCGGCACGGCTCTTTCCGTTGCTCTACTAGCCGTCGGTACCGGACCGTGTCCTCGGTACCGGACCGTGTCCTGGGTAGCCAAGGACTTCCCGGAGCTTCAGGATGCAGCCAGGAGAATCGTGTTTCCCGGAGACTCCAAGGAATATACCTCAACTTATAGTAGGATCCCTATTATGATTTAAGGAATATTCCTTTTAATTGAGGGATCTTGGAGTCTCTGGGTTCTCGGGGCAGGGTTCAGGGTTTTGGTTTCGGGATTCCTCTTGACAGTACTGAATGAAATCTACATTCCACCGGAGACGAACTTTCGAGCTCTTCGTTGAGGGACGATGACACCTGACACTCTTAGCGTAGGCTGAATAAATCAGACAGGCTTATTGCATGTGGCACGTCCTTTGCAGAATCGTTTCTCGTATCAAGATCAGAGGTTCTATGTTTTGCGGGCTTTCATTAGGCCTCAGCGCCTCAAGGAGAGTGTCTGTTCCTGTTCTTTTGCCGTAGTACGAAGTATCCCAGGACGATGCAGGCCTGGGTGTGGCGGTTGGATAGATACGTGTGTGCTAAGTGTGCTTGTACTTGTTCGTGTGGCTATCATGAGATCATGCAAATTACTGGGGTGAAAGAGGACAGTAAAGCGAGTATTAACAATAGTAACAACAATAAGACTTAGACTATGCGACTTATGATTCAAAGAAGTCGTTGTAATCTGAACCAAAGCATGTAGCTTCAAGAAGCCCTTAGCAGCCTTTGCCCTAAGCCCTACAAGGTGCTTGATTTGGCCTGGGTCTCGCTTGAGGCTTCTGGGCTTTGGCACCCGGGATTGTCCACGTTGTTTAGAATGGTTTGGAAGATGTCCTTGAGATTGAAATTTAGGGTTTTAGGGTTCAGGGTTAAGGGGTGTAAGGATTGCGTCAGTCGCACTGGATGGATCTTTGGGTTGCATCTGTGGAAGATCCGATGCCGAAACGCAGCCGTACAGCCTTCCGAGCGAGTTGATGATATGCTTCGGAAGATGAGTTCGTAATTGCACTCCCCAGGGTGCCCTAAACTCATCTAGGCTCCTGTATTCCCCCGAAACGAGAGACACCTGTACAGCAGGTCCCTCCCTCCCGGGGTTTTCAAATTTATGTACTGAGCTAGAATGGTGCGACAATGTCAGAGTGTATAATCCCGTACAAAACCAACATCCTACAAAAGCACTCCAGTATTGCATAATTAAGCCCCTAGCTAGCTATGGCAGAATACTGCCGCACGTAATATTAAAGGACACTTCTCAGATTCAGAAACTATATAACCACATCTCCGGGGAATTCGTTGTACGAAAGGGGTCTGAATAATTGAATAGTCAGGATTAGTATAACCGGAGGGTTGTTATATACTGCAGTAGAAAACACACCTACAGCCCTACAGCGTATTCCCCTTTAAAGAAACCTTAATTATCGAACCATGTTCCGAGCGCCTAGGCCAAGTAAGAGTTCGAAGCAGCGGCCCTTAAGCACGCTCTTGTTTAGCGATGGTGGTCACCCCCATGGCAGCGACGGGAGGCTGCTCCCTTCTTTCCGCTTCTTGGCCTTAAATGGGTTGGGGCTGGGCGGCTGGGCTTTTGTGGTTCTACAAGGGCGTCTGTAAGGGTTGCCATGAAGGTTCTGTACGAGGTTCTGAGTTTGAGTTTCGGGTTTGGCGCTCCGTAAAGCTGAGGGTACCAGTTTTGGGGGTCCTTCAACACCAGGACCTTTAAGGGCCCTTTAACAGAGCCCTTATGGCCCTTCATAGTTGGCATTTGGGGTATAGTAGAAGGTAGTTGGAGGGTCTAGGTATGCTCCCAAACCCTTCAACCCTAAACTCCTAAACCCTTAAACCCTATACTCTGACTCCTTAATTAAGCCCTATACACCCCAAATCCTACATTACACTCCTAAACCGAAGCAGGTTTTGGGTGGTTGGAAGTGGTTCGAGGCTTTTCGGCCTGTGCCTCCGTTGCCGTCCGCAGCGCCTGCGGTCCGAGGAGGCCACATCTCAGGGACCCCAAAATTACAAGCATAAGCGTTTTATAGGGATATCCCTAGTTTATGGGGCTTCATGATAAAAGGGGTTTATATGGGGTATCACTTCACCGTCCTTCTTTTTGCTTAAGTGCTTTTGGGGGCCCTGACATCCCTGGTCTGGTCTGGATTGAGGGCTTTGGGTTTAGGGCTTTGGGTTGTGGGGTCGGGCTTAGGGCGTACTTTGGGGTTCATGGGTGGTTATAAGTGGGGTTATAAGTAGGGTAAGCTATACTTATAATTCATACTAGGGGACTTATAACCCTACTTATAACTACCCATGAACCTCCAAGTAGGCTTTATCCACCTTAGGCTTAGGGCTGAGGTTTGAGGGCTTTAGGCTGTGAGGCATAGGATGTAAGGCCTAGGGTCGGAGAGTCTATGGTTCAATTAGGGTCGAAGTCTACTTGGAGGTTCATGGGCAGCTATAAGCGGGGTCACAAGTCCCCTAAGATGAGTTGTATAGGTATACTTACCCTACTTATAACCACACTTTAAACTACCCATGAACCTCCAAGTAGGGAGGGGTACTGGGCTCATTTCCAGAAACCTGGTCGCCATGTCAGAGCTCCTGCTGTGTACTTGAGCAACAAGGTTTACGATGTAGGTGGGTTTAGGGTTTAGGGTTAGTAAGTATACTTCTAGTTCTATAAAAGACCCAAGGGAGGTGCCTTTGACCCTTCTTCTAGCACTCATGTGCCTTCGATTAAGGGCTTTTACCCTAGAAGCGGAATGCATGTGAGGATTTCGAAGCGTGTGTATTTCCCTAGAACTGAGTTCTAGGGTCAGGTAACCCTTTCTGCTAAAGCCTCAATTTTCAAGTTCTTTGGGCCTGCACCGAAGCTCCAAAACCCTCATCCATACGGTGGGAAGGCTGAGAATAGAATGCTTGAGTTGGGTGTTTCCAAAGCCAGGATGCTACTATTCAGTGTGTTCCATCGGGTTTCATGTGTTTCGAAGTCCTGGCGGGTAGCTACGGGTCTCTTTTTGATTCCGTGACACTCTTGTGCGAATGCAGATCGGGATCCCTCTAGAACTACACATCTTTGATTGTCCTTAGCTTTGTAAACCATGACTCAAAGCAGAAATGGGTTTAGGCTTAGGGGCTTTGGGTTTAGGCTCAAGGGTTGGGCAGCTCTCTCGAAACAGGAGACTGCAAAGGAACCGGTGTGCTGTGCAGGACAATGTTTTGGTCTGTGAGCCGTTTGTCGTACCCTAAACCCTAAACCACTGTGGCCCCCAAGAAGACTGCAATGAAGGTGGCCGTCCTAGCTACCTGCAAGATCCAGCAAACCTATGCCAGCCTTAAGTATGCGCGATCATCAGACTCTTGCCGTGTTTTGCTCTGCACAGCTGCAAAGTCTGTAAATATAGTTAACCGGTGTAGATAATATCCAAGATGACTGACACCGACCTACATCAACCATCATAGAGGGGCCTGAGCTTGCAGATACTAGGGCGCTTATAGTACCCTGATAGATCCTTTTAAAGGAACTCTTATAACTAATCCCTGGTAAAGGAACCGAATTCTAGGGATCTACGTGCATCCGCCAACATGGTTTCGGGGCCCGCCCGGCGATCCTCGAAAGGGCGTGGCTTTGCTGCAGAGTTGTTTCAGCACTTCAGGGTACAGATTTAGGGTTTCGGGTATAGGGCTCCGGTTTTAGGGTTAAGGGCAGCAGGCCCGAGGTGATTCAGGAACAGGGCTATATGGAGGGCTCTTGGGTTGTTATGCCTCAGGGTAGAGAGGATTCCTTTTGCATTTTGGGCTGAAGACACAACCTTTTTTAGAGGGTGCTTTTGGGGTTTCTGGGTTTAGGGCTAAAGTGGCCTTTTGTGGTCCAGAGTGGCGCGTGCGTGTGATATCGATGGTAACCCTAAACCGCTGCAAACTTTTGGAATAACGTCCTATTGTTTAGGGTACTATCTTACTGAAATATTTGAACCCTACTTCAACCTACCAAAACCTACTCTTTGGGGGTTCTTATGACTACCGATGTCTGTTTGGTACTTAGAATACACCGCAAATGTGGAAGCCTTCTGAAGAGCTAAACGCAAAAAGCTTCTGACTAGTTTTGTTAACCCTAAACCCCAAACCCTACACCCTTCCGAGGCGGGCTCAAGACCTGCTCTGTGCGGAGTGCATAAAGAGTCACTGCACTTTAAAAAAGAACCCTACACCCCTGAACACTAAACGCTTAAGCAAACCAGCCCCCTGGCTTCCAGCCGAGGCGCTACTGCGGTGTCTGAAGCATTTCACACCACGAGGACTCGGCTCGCTAAACTCTAAACCCTAGGGTGTAGGGCTTGGGGCCTAAATCCTCGGGATGTCAAGTTAAAATGAGGATTCCCATAAGGATGAAACCCAAAAGGTTTCTCTAGGGCGAACGGGCGCTTGCACGGGGTCTGGGTGTTGGACTTAAGGGTTTGAGGATTTCAGCAGCTTGCTCTTGGGGTCAAGGGCTTTAGGTTTTAGGTTTTTAAGATTTTAAGTTTTAGGGTCTGCGCTGGATCGCTTTGGGGTGTAGGGGTCAGGGCTTTAGGGTTGAAGGGTTTAGGGCACCATCAGAAGACCACCAGAAAGCCACCAGGAAACCAGAGAGACAGCAAGAGCCGAGTTGTAGAGCATATTGGCAGCTACTTGGAGGGTCGGGGGGCTTAGTAAGTAGGTAGTAAGTAGACTTATAAGTACCCTAAAAGGGACTTTAATTGGGGTTATGGTACGGAAAAGTCCCTAAAATGACCAGTTACTAAGTCCCCCGACCCTCCAAGTACCGTAGCTGCTAATTTCTGCTGCAGCCAAGCCGTTCGATGCACGTCTCAGGTATGGGAGCCAAAGAAGCACCTAAACAAAGACCATAAGTTTGGGATATCCCATTATCCCTGTTGATTACAGTACCGATAATAGGCACGGATGTGCTACCCAAAAGTTTCTGTTTGGGTGCTTCTTTGAGTTCTTCTTGGTTTTTGTGGCTGGCTGATACTTGTACGCTAAAACCTTAGCAGTCCTTGACACTCTGCTACCGCACCAAGCCACCCCCCACCCCTCAACAAAACACTTCACTCTACTTGTTAATGCGCCCACCTGTATGATTGCGTTGTAGTGGATGGAGCAGGCTGCAAGTGATTTCCGGAATCACGGGTGTGGTTTAACTACGCGGGTTTGTGTGTTGGGTGGTATGGGCTTGGACTTCGAGTGAATCCTCATAATTAGCAGAATGTTCCCGAAACTCTGTAAACCTCACAAATTATGCCTAAATCCTGTGTAATCCCGAATCGCGACCAATCAAGGTGGAGTCCCCAACCCACCAAAGCCAGAAACCTCAGGGCACCACGGAAGTCATCATCAAAAAATGGGCCGATCTGGCTGCAGTGAGTTTTCCCTTGAGGGTTTGGGATTGACGGCTTAAGTTGCAAGGTTTAGGATGATTCTTCGGCGTCATCATGGTCTTAGTTGTTCCAATTGTACTCATTCTTTCGCATTCCGTCATGTTACCAGTGCTTTTGTCGGGTGGGCTCTTGCCGTTAACAGCAGATCTTTAGCGGGTCCTAGACACAGTCCAAGCAGACCCGAAACAAAGAGCTTGAGTTCCGAAGCCAAAACGCTGAGGTCCACGAGAAAGACCGGGATGCCAGCGCCCTCGCCAAGCCGACGGAACCCCGACTCGCGTTATATGGGGGCTTCAGCAAAGCAGAACAGGGCCCCGGCTCTTATCAGTGAATTTTGGCATCCCTGTAAGAGTTCTAAAAGGGGCTCTAGAACTACCTTAAAACCGTAAGTTTAGAGGATGTTGCGGTTTAGGGTGCAGGGTTCAGGGGTGGGATGTAAGGGGTGGGGTTTAGGGTTCAGGGAGTTATGGTTAGGGTTAAGATGTATGGGGTTCGAGTGATGCAGCTTTTGCATGTAAGCCAATCTTATGAAGGGGTTTCGGCTGATGATTCCCGCAGGGGAACGAGGACGATTTGGTGCTTCAAGTTGGAGTGGTTGAGGATTTGAGATGGAAGCCCCGGAAAATTTCCGGCTTATGCCATTCATTCTCGGATTTGGGTACTGGAGAAACCAAGGCCACCCTGCCGGATTCACTGTTGACATACGTGTAAAGCCTCACAGTTGGGTCATGGAGGTCTCCCTGAATGTGGAACTGTTGGACCGTTCTGTTGAAGAGTTTGACAGTTTTTTGTATTTAGGTTCCCATAAGGTAACAGAACAGGGATTACAACGGAGATTGCAGGTACGCCTTAGACGAACAGGAGTTTTTCATGCTTCGAGTTATAGGTTGCCTTGAGGATGCAATAACCTACCTGCTATGGGTGCCTAAACTGCTAATTTGCTTCCGGGTGGGTGGACACTCCCTAAACCCTAAACCCTAAACCCTAAACCCTAAACTGTCCCTGTACTTCTAGGACATGGTTCCTGATAGGGAATCCTTAGGCCTAGCATTCGTAAACTGTTGTACCGTACCTATACTACAAGCAGGTTATAAGGAGCCCTGAGGAGGAAAGACCACGAATCGGGGACGAGGCCCAGAGCCTAAAACCCGAGAGTGCTTTAAGTTTATGTTATCGGATCCATGCAGACCCTTCGCACTGAATTTCTACACCGCAAACTTGTATAATCCGAAGCCTTTGCGAAGGAGCCCTTGAAATAAGCCTTGTGTCAGAGTTAACCAACCCTTAAAACCCTATAAACCCTAAACTTTAAACCCTAAACCCTATACCCCAAAACACTAAAAGCCCTAAACCCTAAACCCTTAGAAAAGCCCTTGCCCCCAGGAGCAGCGCATCCTCCAGCGACTCCACCACCTCAGTCGACCCAGTAGTCACTTGGCCTAAGGTGAACTTTGATTCTAGTTTAGGGTTTAGGGCTTAGGGTTAGGGGGTTAGGGTTTAGGGGTTAGGGTAGGGTGTACTTTGCGGCTTAGGGTTTAGGGCTTAGGGTTTGGGGCCTGCGGGATTTATGATCGAATAATCAGGCTGGGTGTAACTTGCATGTTTCTCTTCTTGTCATCTCTGTCATAGTTGGGTAACACTTTTCAATTTTATTTACGGGCACTTAAAACCATAAAGAACAACAAGTTTTTTCATACTATCCCAACCATGAACTAGTTGTCGCTCCGAGTTAACATGCTTTGAAGGGTCCGTTCAAGGTGTCTATAAAGGGTCTATAAAGGCTCCCAAGGGACTAGGAGGGTTCCTGCAAGGGGTTCTATAAAGGTTCTGTGAGATATTAGGGTTTAGTCATCAGGAACATTGATCTGCAGTGTAACTGTACGCAGAATTACTTATATATTGTCAGGCGTCTGGCGTTCCCAGCCCCCCCCCGCCCCCCCAATGGTATGGTCTGATAGGGGTGGGGGGGGGGGCCTGGCGTGTGCGGAAAGGGGTTGGGGGCTGTTGGGGCTGCCGCTGGATGGTGGGGTGGTGTTGGCGGCCAGAGCTCACGCGCAAGCCCTTCGCAAGCAAGCCGTAAACCCAATAACGCAGCGCGTGCCCCCGTTTTGAGCAACCTTAACTTGTACTTAAAACGCTGCACCCAACCTAAACCCCACCTAACTGCAGGCTCTAAGCCTAAAGCAGAGCATACACCGCAAACTCCCTAAGCCCTTGTCGACTCGAAGCCTTATACCTTATAACCGTAAACCCAAAACTGAAAAGCTTAAGCTAAACCCCAAAACCCCACAACGACCCCACAGGGGGAAGAGGAACCCCACACCCCACACCACAGGGGAGGGGGGGGGCCCACCCTATATCCGGACCATTGACCTTTGGGGGGGGGGGGGCTGCGGAGCGCGTGACCATATATTCCCTAATGGCTCTCGTAACCCCGCCCCCTTCTAACTACACATGTGGCTTCATTCATGCCACCCCGACCCCCCGGAACGCCCTACTAGACATTACCCATACTATTTTAGGGGTTCCTGCTTATAAATATAGTACCATATCCCGCAAAACCATAGTCTAAATATCACTAGAAGGGCTGGGGGGTCAGAACCGATGGTGCAACGTGGTGCTTTGACGACTACACGGATGCTACTTGTTGGGGTTGAAATTGTCGAGAATCCGTGATGTGTAATATGTGGGAGGTTTTTGGATGTGTTTGAAAGATTCGGGAGACTTGGGGAAGAGGATTGTACATCCGGTCAAGTCCCCTCAACTAGAGACCATCCCAGACCCCCAACCGGAAACCGTGACTGCTACCTAGACCCCGGAAGTGTGTAGAATGATAGCCTTTTATAGGTTTCGGTCCATGATTGTAGGTACTTTGAGGGGTCTAGGTACAGGATCCATGCAACAAGCTGGACTTCTTCTGCTCCTTGTGCAGACACATCCGTCTGGTTCTTAGTAGGGTATTGGGGAATGGGTTATTGGGACTACTATAGGGACCTTAAAGGGACTACCATAGGGATCCCTTCCCCCCCTCCATACTAAGTACCAGACACTCGGAGGGTCAGGGGACTTAGTAGCTGGTTATTTTAGGGACTAATAAGTACCATAACCCCCGATTAGGGTCCCTTTTAGGGTACTTATAAGTCTACTTACTACCTACTTAGTAAGTGCTTAAACCCCTGAACCCTCAACCCTATAGTACCCCTATAGAGCCCTTTAAAGGAACCCCTAGAATCCCTTTTAAAGGAGCCCTTACTAAGTCCCCTAAAGACCCTCCAAGCACTCATGCCCCTGAGCGATCGCCGGATCGCCTTCTCAGTCCCCCCAGACACTCCAAAACCCCTTAATTAAGGAATATACCTTAAATCATATTAGGGCTCCTATTAGAATTTAAGGTATATTCCTTAATTAAGGGGTTTTGGAAGGTCTGGGCCACTCTGTGATTGAGACCCAGAGCTACGAGATTCCCAGAAGAGCACGATACCCCTTCGTTCAGGAAACTATACCTTGTTACACCATGAAACACTATGGCTCCTACAATTCGCGGGTATTTTCCTTAATTTCCCCAAATCTGCAAGAACCGAGGTATCGGTGGCAGTGCGCCGCCATGTCCTCAGTACGGCCCGAGCCTACTTAGCGCAGAAGCGCGAGCAGCGTGGCCAGGACAGCAGAGCAAAATGGTACATGCGTTCGAGTGTCACGTCCAATGGCAGACTTGCAACCACGATGATGACGATTATCGAGAACAAGATCATGATGATCATGATAACCAATATCAACCCAAAAGTCATGCGGCTGATCCCTGTGGCGAAGAGCACTAGTATATATGTTGCGATTATCATTAAGATGAAGATGTACCTACTTATTGCTGTTTTGGGGAGATCTACTGAAAGACCTGGTTGTAACAGGGCTTGGAGCCACAAGTATACTTTAAACCAGCATAGAATACGTACTGAGTTCCCCCTGGCGATTGAAGAATAATTTCATGAGTTTAGGTGTGTTTGGTTCAGGTGCAATCTCCCCAACCCCTTTTAGGTTAAGTTGGAGTTCCACAACCTATGAGAGCCCCAAACTAAAGCCTACGTCATAGGATCCTTCCTGGAAAATCGTTAACAAGCAAATCCTGTCTTGAAAACATCTCAATACCTCATCAATCCTTGTCGAGTTACTAGCGGGACCCTAAACCCCATGTGCGAGCGACCACCAGGAGCAAATGAAGACCATCGCCATGCATTGCACCTACATGGCTTCACGCAGGCCGCATCCACGATTTATAGAGGAAGGGCTGAAACCCTCGTTCCGAGCATTTTGGCCCTATTTGCCACGAACTTAACTTCCATAAAAAAATTAAAAAAAAACAAAAAAGACGAAACACATAATCAAGCCTGTACCTTTTCCTGGTTTTGTTCCTCGGGTTGGTAAGTTTGCTCGTGGGGTTTTGAAGGGCAGGTTACATGGCAACTAGGAGTTGGTGGTTGCGCAGTAGTAACTCGTCTGGCTGACCATGTCTGCAACCCTACCGCCAAAGAACACCCATGTGTTTAAACCCGTCCCTTAACACTGCAGTTTTCAGTTCTGCGTTCAGAGATAGAATCATGGTAAAGGGAAGACCTAGAGGGATGCAATTTCCTTACTGGCTGGAGACCACCACGCGGCGCTTTTGTCCCTCAGAATGGAACGCTAGCCCTGGTAGAGGTACTCTTGGCCTCATGTAGTCTACGCAGAGATCAATACTTGGAGGGTCGGGGGACTTAGTAACTGGCTATTTTAGGGACTTATAAGTACCATAACCCCAATTAGGGTCCCTTTTAGGGTACTTATAAGTCTACTTACTACCTACTTACTAAGTCCCCCGACCCTCCGAGTAAGAAGATAAAGCGAAACCGGAAGAACTCTGAGCCGGCGCCAATGCACGCTCCGGCCTAGCGCCCACAGCATCCTGCAAAAAGCCCTTAGCCTTCAATCCTGAACCATTCCAAACCCCAAGACCTACTATTTGCTTAAGAACCCCCCAAAAAGTAAATAAATAAATAAATATATATATATATATATATATATATATATATATATTGGTGGTTTCTTAAGCAAATAGTAGAGACACCAAACCCTAACCCATAGGGCAGATTTTTATCAACTTATAAAGAGCCCTTCACTGATTCACATCCTGTAGCTGTCAACTTCTACACTCTACACCTCCCTAAGCAGGCCCTTCCCAATAAGCCCTCATCAGGTCCCGTAAACCCTAAGCTAAAAACCCCCAAGCCTGAGCCCTAAACCTCCTTACCCCCCTCCCCGCCTTCCTCTCCGTGTGGTTCTCTATGTTAGGTTCCATTTTTAAGGCTCCCAAAATACTACGGCTCCCAGAGGTTTCAGGGTCATATTCCGTGGGTCCTTCTGCTGGATTGGCCCAGGACTTCGAAAGCTGGGCGATTCATCCGAAATCTTCGGGAGATCCGGGTTTCGGATATACGTTTGACTTGGCGGACTCTTTAAAGGGTTCCTCAACTGGGTTGTCCCAGCAACTATTTGGCCTTCATCCGGTTTCCAACTTTATGGGGTCTACTATACACGCTTGACTTGGCGGACTCCTTAAAGGGTTCCTTAACTGGGTTGTCCTTTGGGATCTTTTTCAATTTCCCCTACTATTTTGCGGAAAACCATAATGGTAAATAATCTTCAAAGGGCTTAAAGGACAACTCCGTTAAAGATAGCTTTTTTCCCATTGTGTTTTAGGGATCCCAAACAACATATGAAGAAACAGGGTATGCTCCTTATGAAGGGGACCCTGGGGACTGAAAGGGGCTTAGGGGTTTGGGAGTCCGGATATGTAGGGTTTGGGGGTTCAGGGGTTTTGGGGTTTAAGGTTTAGAGTAGGGTCTCGGGTTTGGGAGTTTTGATCTTCTTGGGCAATATGGGAGTTTCCGAAAATTGGGGGGACCTTATTCTGGGGGTCCCTATACTAGGGATCTATCCTACTATTTCGGGAACAATATTAGGGTCCCCTATTTTCGGAAACACCCATAAGTTATAGTGTTGAGGGGTTTGGGGTGACGGGATTGGGGATTTGCTTGGAATTTGTTGGCCTCAGGTTGTTCTGCGTCTTCAGAGTTGTCGCTCTACTGTAAACACACTTCCAGGCCGAAGTTTCGCTTAGGCTTGGGCGTGGCTTCCATCTTTTGTTCAACCGTCTCCAGTCGACACCCTAAACCCTACTCTGTACGGATCCAAACCTTCATTCTACGGTCCGAAGCCCACAATCAACTAGAATAAAAGCCTATCTGTCCTTCACCCTGGAGCTCAAGGGCGGTCAACTCCCCCAACCCTAAACCCTGAATCCTAAGCTCCTAAACTCTAAACCCGGAGACCTTAGCCTACACCGCGTACACCGTGAACGAGTTCAAAAACTCCGATGGCCGCGTAGCTGTAGGCGATCAGACATTCGTTGAGATTCTTCGGTCGTTCGATGAGCGGGACAACCGCCAGAAGATGATCTCAGGTTCCCGCAGAAGCTTTCGGCGATCCATGCGTAGTAGGTTTGCCTTCTCTTCCAGGCTTTTCGAGCCCTGGCACGCTTGAAGCACTACGCTCCATGTCAGATTCTCGAGATGAGGGGCGTGATAGTGGGTCTGGTGACGAGTCTGTTGCATCTGACTCGTCAGATGAGAGGCACCTTTCTTTTACGAAGCCACGTACGCGCGATGACATGAATCGCAAGAGAGATGGTCGTCTCCCTGATCGCGGCAACGTCTTCCGGTGGATTGAAAAGAAAGGTGTTGTTGTCAACGATACTCCTGATCCTGTGAGGGAGATCCTTCCCAGATCGCTAGTCATGGGGTTTGGGCGGCTCTCCCTTTTCCACTCCACTTGACAAGGGGAGCGATGTCCGTTTCCCAGTTGGGGGTCTCCGGACCCGAACCTTTGCAACAGTACGTTGCTTGTCAAGTGTTCATGCACTGCCTGCTTCTGTCTTAATCGTGTCCATCAGAACGGAGGCAACAGCAGATCTCTTCACATGCAGAACTGACCCCTAAGCCTTCAAACCTACATTTGACCTTTGAGTACTCCTACCTAACACTTGGAGATCGAGTTATCAGTCCTCTAGTATGGGCCATAAGTTATAAGTATACTTAACCTACTTATGAGTCCACTTATAACTTCCCATTGTGTACTCAAGCAGGAGAATGCAGTCAAGCCCCAAATCTCTGAAAAAACCTCTGGAGGAACCCATAGAGGAACCCTTACTTGGAGGGTCGGGGGACTTAGTAAGTAGGTAGTAAGTAGACTTATAAGTACCCTAAAAGGGACTTTCATTGGGGTTATGGTACGGAAAAGTCCCTAAAATGACCAGTTACTAAGTCCCCCGACCCTCCAAGTAAAGGAACCCTCAGAAGAACCGTCAGAAGGAACCTTAAGTCCCTACACCCTAAACCCTAAACCCAAAGGAAGCCCTAAAACCTAAAGGAACCCTAGACCCTATATAGGCCTAGGGAACCAATGCAGCTAAATCCCCCTCAACCCTAAATCCCAAACCCTGAACCTTAAACCCTTACAGTAGAAGCCAGAAAGTTGGAACATCATTCTCCTCATGCCCTTAAGGTAAAGTATAAGGGATCCTAGCACTAATCCTCCTAAAGTCATGTTCCAACTTTCTGGGGTTCACTATAAAGGAACCCTACACCCCAAAGGCCCTTAACGGAACCCGAAACCCTCGGAGCCCTATTAAAGCCCTTATCGCAGGAGAAGAGTCCTCTAGACCCTAATCCTTAAACCCTATAGAACACTTAAAAGAACCCTCATAAGTACCCTTACAGGAACCTTCATACGTACCCTTTAAGGCACCCTACTTGGAGGGTCGGGGGACTTAGTAAGTAGGTAGTAAGTAGACTTATAAGTAGCTTAAAAGGGACCCAAATTGGGGTTATGGTACTTACAAGTCCCTAAAAAAACCAGTTACTAAGTCCCCCGACCCTCCAAGTAGGTCCTAGAGAACCCTAAAAGGAGCCCTTAAAGCAGGAGAATATTGCTCTAGACCCTAATCCTTAAACCCTACAGATCCCTTAAAAGAACACTCATAAGTACCCTTAAAGGAACCCTCATAAGTACCCTTAAAGGCACCCTCATAAGTACCCTTAACGGAACCCTCATGAGTACCCTTTGAAGGCACCCTAGGCCCTAGAGAACTCTAAAAGGAGCCCTTAAAGGAAACTCCAGAAAGTTGGAATATGGTTTCAGGGTAGGATACCTTATAATTTACCATAGAAGGGTAAGGATAATCATATTCCAACTTTCTGGCTTTTACTTTAAAGCAGGAGAACGCCGCCGAGCAAAAGCTCCTTCGGCCCTCGCTCTCGGCCGCTGTTTCAGGCTTGCACGGTGGGTTTCGGGCTCCTTTAAGGGAGTTGTTCGGGGTTTAGGGCTCCTTTAAGGGATCCACAGGGCTCCTGAACGGTGGAGTTCGGCGTCATTGCAGGTACCCACAGCCTCCAAATTTAAGGAAATATTCCTTAAATCATATAAGGGATCCTATTATAATTCAAGGTGTATTCCTTAATTAAGGGTTCTTTTAACTTATTGGCTGTTAACTCAACATTTCAACTTTTGGGGTTCTTATAAGGTAGTCGATTCTGAAAGTTTCAACTTTTTGTTCCTTGGATTTTGGGTCAGTGAGTTAAGGGATGTATAGGGATTTAGGGGTTTATAGGGTTTAGGGTTTAGGCTCTAGGGCTTAGGGTTCAGGGCTTCGGGGGTTGAGGGTTGAGGTTTCATTTAAGGGTTTTTTTCGGGATTTAGGGCTCCTTTACCGGATCTTTTGGGCTTTAGGGCTCCTTGAAGCGATCTATATGGGTGTAACGCCCAGAGGCCAAAAGACTCCAATACCCGTCATTTAGGGATGATTTAGGGATTACGCCTTAAATTGTATAGTTCTTAAGTAAGGGATATTGAAGTTACTGGGCAGTCGGTGAGGGGCGTAAAGTTCGTCGGGTTTTACAATCATAGAATCATAGGGTTTATATTGCTTTAATGATACGGTATGCGTAAATTTCATCGGGCTTGATCACGATAGTTTGTAGGTTTTCTTCAAGGCTTTGATGATAGGTCCATGTGTAAGTTTCATCCGGCTTCACTCGTAGTTTAAAGGGCCTATAGGGTTTTTTAATCGGGCATTCATGGCTTTAATGATAGCATATAGGGTTTATAGGGCTTTAATGGGGCTTACAAGATGGATTGGGAGGTAAACCCTACGCCATACAACCTAAACCGTTTCAGGCGTTCTCGTGAGCGATGTTTGCAAGGCTAGAACCTAAACCCTTGCACCCGAATCATCCCCGAATCCTACAGTGAACCCCAGAATTTATCCTTAAGGGAGGGGGGTCCAAGGGGGGTATATAGCCTAGTGATCCCCAATTCTCCCTAGTACTCCCTAAGGTTCCCTTACAGTCCCCTAAGGATTCCTTATACCCTCCCCCCTTGAACCACCCTCCATTAAGGATCCTATAACAGAAAGTTGGAAATATAGATGAGCTTAGGATGGCTCATGCTGGGATTCCCCATTCTTTACGTTGAGGGCATGAGGACTCAGAGACTCCAAAACCCCTTAATTAAGGAGTATACCTTAAATCATATTAGGGTTCCTATTGTTTAAGGTAGATTCCTGAACTACGGGCTTTTGGAGCCTCTGGGGATAATGATGTTCCAACTGTATGGCCTCTACTTTAACTAGGATGCCCAGTAGTACCCTTATTCCCTTTTTGTACTCCGCCCTTTTTTCCTACGTTACTGGGCATCCTAGGTAAAGCTTGCTGTCTTTGGGACAGAAGGTTAGAGCAATGGCTCCGGATCTTCAAGAGTTTAGGGTTTACAGGGCTTTGTGTCTAGGGGTGTGCGTTAGGGTTTAAGGGTTTTGGGGCTTAGGGTCGGTCCAAGGCTTTGGTTTGGGGTTTGAGGGTTTAGAATTTAAATTGAGGTTTCTCAGCAAGTGAAATTGGGGTTATGAGTAGCTTACAAGTACCGTTGCCTTATCTGCATGCAGGGTATCGGGTCTAGGGAAGCCCGTTCGGATGATCATGGATTTATTTTATTAAGTAAGGTCATTAGTACCCTGATTGGGGGTATACACGGTTCTAAGTACGATTACCTCAGTTAGAGAGGTTAGGGTTTAGGGAAGCCTGTTTGGAGGCCAACTTGCGTGTGCTCTGTAAGAGCCCACTGGACTCGACCCTGAACCCCCAAGCTAGCCGGGTACCTTATTTTGGGGTCCTTATAATAAGGATCCTACTATTCAGGGTACTGTATTGGCGTCCCCTATTTTCGGAAACTCCCAAATGTGAACTCACACCCCACGCCCTTAACCGGAAGTTGTCGTGGCGTAGGTGACATGGACGATCATGAGTTCGAAGTCGAAACTGCCGCGGCTTCTGACAGAATGCTAGACGAGGCTTCCTTCCTTCACAGCATGTCTTGTTTGTGCTTCATAGGGTTTCCTTTCAACCGTAAACCCAATAAATCCCAAATTAGGGTTTAGGGTTTCTGTTAGGGGTTTTTCGTTTGCATATTGGAGCTTCGTATAGAGATTCAGAACAGGAGTGTTGAGGGTCCTGGGATGTCTTATTTGAGGTTTCTTTCATAGTGACCCCGACCTCAGTTCATGCACTATAAATACACAAGGACTCTATGTAAGCCATACTTGTCTTGGTACTTGTGCCAACTCCTAATTTCGGCTTCTGTGTTGCGGCCTTTTGTTGCCCGGAACTTTCAGTTGTGTCGCAAGATATAACAAGCCTAGCCGTAAGCCCTACGCCCTAAACTATAAGCGAGAGAGTGAGCAGCCGCCCCTGCAGTTGACCCCGAGCCTGACTGTGAAGCATTCTTGGCAGATACGAGGTGTCGAATTCAGGGTCTAGGGTTTACGGTTTAGGGCTACTTCCAGGTCCATGAGTAGATTAGATGAGTTAGATGAGTCCGATCAGATAGATCTGGGTGGCTGTCATAATTCTGGTCCCTTCTTAGGTCCTTAACATAATACAGCACCTAATCTATAGGATAATTGCCCCCAAGAGGGGCACTAATTTTGACAGCAACCCATATGTTTTTGTATGTTGAAGGGACCCAGAGACTCCAATATCCTTTAACTAAGGAACATTCCTTAAACCAGATCAGGGATCCGATTATAATTTAAGGTGCATTCCTTAATTAAGGGATATTGGAGTCTCTGGGGATGTTGGAGCAGGCCCAAGCCCATGGAAGAAAAGCCAAAGGCTCTAGTTTTAGGCTCTAGGGAACCATGCTGAAGGAAACCCACCCAGTAGTAGAGGAGGTAACCTCTAGCCTTGGTTGGGGTACTATGACCTCTGCAAAATCCCGATATAGTCCGAAAGGTTAGCCGTTAATTCCCCAGGAGAATGGACAAGTAGGGTCCCGCCACTTTGCCTTTGCAGTTGCAGGTCTCTCAGCTGGCTGCCCAACTGGACAAACTCTCCTGCACTCGAAGTGCCAATGAGGTCGGGTTCCTTCAAGGGGTCTAGTCTACAAGGGATCTATGCGGGTTTGGGGGCGTTTATGAGTGAAGGGGCTTAGTGGGTCATGAGTTAGCTTGCTTGGAGGTTCATGGGTACCCAGACCATCCAAAATCCCTTTATTAAGGAATATACCTTAAATCATATTAGGGATCCTACGATAATTTAAGGTATATTCCTTAATTAAGGGATTTTGGAAGGTCTGGGTAGTTACACGTGGGTTAGTCGTCAATTTGGCAAGGCTTTTTGAGTTTGGGATCCTCTGGGCTTGGGCGTTCTCTGTTTGGTGCTTAGTAGGGAATGGGGGAATGGATCCCTATAGTAGTCCTTATATAATCCCCAGTAGTAGTCTTCCATAATCCATCCCCCCATTCCCTACTAAGAACCAGACAGTAGTTTAAACTGATTGGCTTTAGGAGTATGCAAAGCAGCAATGCAGCAGGTATACATCTACAGGTAGACAGCCAGCCTGCCAGCCAGCCGGCAAATCAGGCAGGCAGGCAGGTTGACTGCGAACGACAGACAGACAGAAACGGCCGGAAGGGCGGGCAGGCAGGCCAGGCAGGCAGGCAGGATTCCCAAATCTGAAACAAGGCCATCGTCAACATTTCTGAGTCCATCAGCGCTTGTGCCTTGGCGACAAATTCGCATGGCGTCTAAACCCAGATGTGGTCCAGGGAACCATACTTTTGCGAAGCCCTCAACCCTGACCCTAAGCCCCGTCGATTTATGAGCAGGGCCTTGGGCTTAGACAGAACTATCGAAGCACAACGTCATAAGGCATGCAAGTGACAAGCTTTTCAAGGCATTGGGAAAAGGCTACGTTGGGTTTGGAAGCTTCTTAAGGCCCGCTGTTGAAGGCCATGTTGCGGCTCAGGGCAACCATGTTCCCTTAGCCGCAAATCCCAAACCCATATATCCTTAAACCCTGAACCCTCCAAGCCTTATAATTTCCGAAGACCTTACGTAATAGTAATGCATGATCTTAATCAGTAGTCGTAGCACAGTAAAATAGTGGAGCAACATGAGGGTTTCGGGCCTAAGGTTTGCCTGACCGCACCCACACGATCCTGCTGCAAGCCGTTTAAGACTCAAGTTTTGTCCGTGCTTTACAGGGGTTTGAAGGGTTTTGCAGGGTTGCTTCCGGGTTTTATAGGTTATGAAGGTTTTGTTGGGCTTTGGTTCGCCGAGATGTGTTCTTCATTCCTAAACGCCATAGCCCCACTCCCAAATCCTAGACCCCAAGACACCAAACTCTAAACTCTAGAGCATGGGCCCAGAACTCGATATCACGAAATCCTAAGCCTGTCTTGTGTGTTTCAAAAAAGTATTCCGTAAATCCAGAACTTCAGTTCCTATGCTATAAGCTCTAGGACCCGACCAGACCTACAAAACATTCGACGAAGTCTCCAACAAACACACACAACAAGATAAACACAGGCACACACAAACGAAAAGAGACGCCATTTGAAGCCGAAGAGCTCCAAGAGAAATAGGACCCTCTCTCTTTAACAACAAGTACCAAGGTCTGTCCTACCCCCTGCTAGGAAACCTTAGGGTTTAGGATTTAAGGTTTAGGGTTTGGGGCTTGTTGTTAAGGGTTTAGGGTGTAGGGCTCTGATTCTTAACCCCACGCCACGAAGAAAGCCGCTGAAGGCACGGACCTTCTCAGTCGTTTGCACGCCACTGGCCTTGCACAGGCGCACGGCAGAGAAAGCCATGGTTGCTTAGCGTTTTTCGGAATTGAGGTTAAGGTTTTCTAAAGGATCTCATGCTTCAGTCTTCAGAATACAGGAGCTTGAATAGATAGTACTAGTCCTCTGCGATATAACTCTTTTTCAAGGATCCCCTAACCATAACCATGAAGGCCCCGACAATACAATCGGCCACAAGGGCGCCGGAAGGGGCTCTGCTTGCTGAAACTTCCTCGTGATTCGCCTCCAAAACTTCTCCCCCTCTATCAACTAGAAAGCACACCAAGCACCATACACCCCCAATCTTCTCGAATAGCCACTGCGTGAGAGTAGTCGAACCACTGCAGAAGCACAGTATACTTCGCACAGTATACTTCACAGCCTAAACCCTAAAGCCGAAAGTTGTTGTGACTCATCGACCACTCTCCTGCAGCACGTGCAGGCACTTCACCTTGATCGCATTGCAGCGCCTGAGATCATCAAGCCTGCAACTACCCCAAGGGTCCACGTACCTAGTAATCATATACTCTCCGAAATACGAACCTACATAACTACTATCCTAAACCCAACTACCCAGTGATTGGATCCTTTGGACCCTTGGGGCTATCGGTTGTTTCTGTGGGAGGGCAAGGGCTTTACGATCTCGATCGGTTAAGGGTTCAGGGTTTAGGATTTAGGGTTTGTAGCGATACGAATTTAGGGCATAGGGTTTAGGATTTAGGGTTTATAGGGTTTCGGATTTAGGGTTTAGGGTTTTGGGGTTTAAGGTTTAGGGTGTGATCTCGCATGAGGCGGAAGAAGTGGGGCTTGATTGTAGGATTGGCCTTCGTCTTGCTGTCGTTGTAGCCATTGCCCGGGGCAGCCACGCAGGCATGTGGATGTTTAGACTGACGCTGGTGGCGAGCTCTAGAAAGCAGCTTTGGGCACACCTCCCAGATCACAGTCACCGTTTGCTGTGTGATCTACGAATCTACTTCTCGAAGCCTGAGCCAAGCGGCGTAAGGAAGACCTGCAGAACGCCCAAGACGGGCAGCTTCGGCGCGCAATGAATGACCCTAAGCCATAGACCCCGGAACCCCTACTCCCGTAATTCAAAATCCCAGCTTGCTTCTCATGCACAGCGAGCCTTAAAGGTATTCATTTATTTCATGGACGTATCGCGCCATAAGTGTACTTTAGATGATGTTTGAAAATTTATCTAATTGGTCATGACATCCACTTATCGTCCATGCAGCTCTACGACAATGTATTCCAGAACGCCATTCTGACTTTCCGGTGCGCATACGTCATTCGCTAGCCGCTAGCAACCATCATGCACAGGACTCCCAGAGAATCAATCGTGGTGTGGGTCCTAAGGGTTTTTAGGGATTAATTCGGGTTTCAGTGTTCGAGTTTTGTTCTGAGACTTTAGGGTTTCATAACCATGGCTTAACACTGATCATGGGAGCATAAACCCGCTTTGTTCTCGGGACCTGACAACACAATCCTTATTCTAATTCAGCAGCTGAGGAATGTGGTAAACTTGCACTGATACTCTGCAGTTACGTGGCATGCTTCTTTACGGTAACCCAATGCAAGGCTTTTGAGCACCTGGGCGTGAGAAAACAAAACACGTTGTTCCTGCAACATATGCTATACACCTGTAGTCATATCTGTATTGGTTCACAAAACTGCTCAGTACGTGAAACAGCAGGCTCCTCTCAAACTATGTAAAATTACAGCAGTTTGTTGAAATCCTTGTAGCACCCCGTTCCACGTCCAACTACGCAAAGCGAACCCTGATAAAGCCTTTGGCTGTCTTGTCTCTAAGCATGTGTGGTGTTGAGTTGCAGAGACTATGTACTAGGTCCTTCAATCGCATGTTTGACCCGGCAAAAAAATCGAAACGCTTGTGCTGCTGGAAGTAGGGTGCAGATCGTCAAAGTGGATTGGGCTGAGGTCTATCAGGTTTGAGAACTACCGTGCATGGGGCTGACTGTTTCAGTTTCAAGCCTAACCCGAAGGGTCCATGTCCTTAAAGTACTCTCTATAGAGGTACATTGGGCCCAAAGTATACTATTTGGCTACAAACCCTAAACCCTATACTGTAGAACCCTTAAAGGAACCCCTGAAGGGACCCCTAAAGGACCCTTCACGGAATCCCTTAAAGGAAGCCCTAAAGGAACCCCTGAAGGAACCCATAAAGGAACTCTTAAAGGAACCCTTAAAGTACCCTTAGGGTTAGCGATTCTCGAAACTGCTCACCTCTCTGAACTTTGATGTTATTCCTATGCAAGAAATGCGACTGCCAAGGGGCTTGGCAGTCGCATTTAAGGGTTCAGGGTTTAGGGCCCAAGCCGAGAGGAACACCGAGATCATGGATGCAGCTCAAAATGACTTAAGAATTCTGAGGCCCAAACCGTAAGCCTTACACTGTGCGCTCCACAGCCTTGTGAATCCTACACACGATGTGCAAGCTTGTAAATCAACCAGGTATGGCGTGTCCAAGGCCTTGTTACAAGAGCTGCAAGAGGACATCGCTCGTATGCGGAAGGCGATGGAGTGTCCAAGCTGCACTCCTTCGTCATAGTTGGGTAGCATTTTACATGTTTATGGTTACTTAAACCCAATAAGTAAAGTGTACATTTTTCATCCTGTCCCAACAATGAACCAGACTCCTCGGACCCGGGGATCGAAGGTGTCGGGGTGTGGAGGGAGGCTCTTAAGTGTTTTGGCTTCAGGGATGAGGGTCCCGGGTTCCCCCATTCGGTGCAAGGCTTTGAGTTAGATGCAGCTTCTATTTCAAGGCTTTTTGCTGCGAAGGCTAAGATGCGAGGATACCAGAATGTTCAGGTACGAGTCTCAGTCATCAAACTTGAGACGAGCCCAAAACCATAATCCCAAACTCTAAACCCCGGACCACTGAAACCCTCAAACGAACCCAGGACTTTTGGGCCACACGCATTTTGGCTTTTTGTGTCTGCTGCACATTGACATCGTGCTGGTTCAGTTCCACTGCAGTTCGCTTGTTTATCTTGTAAAAACGAAGCCTGAATATTTACTCAATATCAGTCCTTAGGGTTCCTGAATAGAAGTCTGCTAGTGTAAACCCCCCAAACCTTACTCGATTCAGCAAGGCCGCTATATGATACAATGTGCTTGAGAGTGGGACTTGGGCTTCGGGATGCTGTTGGGCTTACATGCTTGCCCGAAAGCCCTTTGAACGCGAAGCCTCAATCCCAAACTCCTAAACCTGGGCTGGTAGACTCGTTCGCCCGAAAATTCCGCCACCATAGTTGCAAAACACAGCCCGTAAGGCCCTTAATCAGCCTTAATCCTTAAACCTTAAATCCAAAACTGTCCCGTGCGACTGTTCCAAGGTCCATGCAGATCGAGCAAGGCGGAGACGTAGCAGGCATCCGCGCCCGGCAAAGCTCTGAGAAGCCCGAGACGGGCGCTGAGGGCATTGCGCCGGTCTTGCAGAGCCCCTTGGATTTAGGATTTGAGGTTCAGGGGTTTGGGATTTAGGGGTTTAGAGGCTCAGGGTTTTGGGCTTCTTTTGGGGGTTAGGGCTTCTTAGTAGTAGTAGTAGTAGTAGTAGTAGTAGTAGTAGTAGTAGTAGTAGTAGTAGTAGTAGTAGTAGTAGTAGTAGTAGTACCCGATCTGATGCGGTGTCATTCCAGGGTTTAAGACTTCAGGACTCAGAGTTCAACCTCCAACCCTAAACTCTCTATCTGTCCATCTTCAGAACTTGTGGTTCAAAATTATTCAGGCTCGAGGTTCGAAAGCGTTCACACAGTACAGAGTACCGAAACAGAGGCCGGAACAATTTAATTTGTAAAAGTCTCCCCGCTATAATGCCCTTATAGCTATAGACTTGTAAAATAGCATGCCCCGAACCCCTATGACATTTATAAAGGCTCCTATACTACGGGAATTGAAACATCAGGTTCGGCCCGAATTTGAGCTGACTCAGACGAAACCACTTGCAAAATGTTACCCTGTCGACATGGCCTATTTCGCCCTTGCCCCAAACCCTGAATCCTAAGCCCCAAACCCGTTCGCCCATCTGTTAACTACCGTATACCTGTTTCACTGCTACGCCAATACTTGGAGGTTCTTGTGTAGTTATGAGTGGGGTTAATACGGAGGGTAACTATACTTAAAATCTATTTTGGGGGACTTATAATCCCACTTAGAACTACCCATGAACCTCCAAGTAGGCCCTAAACCCTATACCCTTATAGAATCCCTATAGATCCCCTTAAAAGGGACCTTTAAAGGAACCCTTATAACTACCCATGAACCTTCAAGTACTGAGGTCTTGAGCAGAAAACGACCTCTCTCCTCACTGGTGCGGACGATGTCCCGACCTTCGACGAGCTGGACGATGATGCTACGCGCCTGCTGGAGGAGGTCCAGCGACCCTATACTTAATGTAGGAACCTACCTTGGGCCTTTATTCGGGTTCGCTTAAAGGGGTCTATAAGGGTTACTATAAGGGATCTGTAAGGGTACTATAATCATGTAGGAACCTGATTAAGAAACCTTGGGCCTTTATTCGGGTTCTTTCTATGAATCCTATACTATATTTGGGGTTGTAGGCCCAGTGCTTCTTAATCAGATTCCTACACTACCCTGAAACCCTAAAACACGGGAGCTTCAAAAGCCTTACGGCTCTAATTAAACCCTAAAGCCCTGAACCCTTGAGGTCACTGCGGCCCTAAGAACGCTAAACCCTAAAGCTTGATAGCCCGAAGAGCCCTAAACCCTTAGGTCGAGCGGGCCACAAGCAGCAGGGAGCCTTCCACGCGCGTGCTGGTGGAGATCGACCCCGACAACCAGGAGTCGTTTTAGGGGTATAGGGGGTTTATACGGTTTCAGGGTTTAGGGTTTGAGGGGCTGCAGAAGTTCCCAGAAACTCGAAACCATAAGGCAAGTTCTAGATCCCGGCAGCACTCAGAACTGTAATACTCCTACTGCTAAAAGCTGTTATGAGTATTTGTTGTTGCCGCTGCCTGTAATTATCGTTCTTCATGTGGGTGGTCTTAAAGCAAGTGCAACGTTGCTGATCCTACTTTTGTTTGTTTTTTCTTGATACCTCGCTTCTTCTTGTGTTGGTTGTTGGCTGTCATTGCATGTGTTATCAAAACTATGTCTTTGTCGTACTTCCGCCACAGTATACATCTCGTTCTTGCTATAGGTTTCGGTTGAGCGCTGGCTAACCTAATCAAGAAGAGGCTCTACTGTTCCTGCCTGTTTGAGGTCGCATCGGAACGATGGTGATTGTGCTGTCCCCCGTCGTTATCATGAGTACGAACCCAAATCTACGATGCTCCGGGTGACGTGATGCAAACCACAAAGCAACACAGCAAAACACACACACACACACACACACACACACACCACTCCCAAGAGACTCCAATATCCCTTATTTAAGGAATATTCCTTAAATCAAAATAGGGATCCCATTATAATTTGAGGTATATTCCTCGATTAAGGGGTATTGGAGTCTCGAGGTTCCCCCCCTAAAACTCCATTTGGGAGTTTCCGAAATTAGGAGTACATTATTTTGGGGCCCTTATAATAAGGATCCTACTATTTAGGGTACTATATTAGGGTCCCCTATTTTCGGAAACTCCCATTTCATCCTCCCAACCGCCCGAAGCTAGGCCTTGAGACTTGTGTGTTCAGCGAGTGCGCGCTCAACCGGGCAAGCTCTTCTGCCCAGACCCCAAAGAACCTACCGTTCTAAGGAATTGTTTAAGGAAATTATACAAATGGACACCTAAACAGGTAGGTTCTATAGGGCTTAGGTATAGACCCTAACGTCAAAATTGTAAGCACTGGAGCTTGCTTGTGAGAACTGCGACCCTCGGAAGTTGTATGATGATAGCTGAGAGTGATGCTAACCCCAAATCCCCACACCTTTCAAGAAACCCCATACCACGCTTTGATTCCCCACACGGGACCCTGTATAATATAGCACGTACAAGACTGTCAAGAAACCACATACCACGCTCTGATAAAACCCTATACAAGGCCTTCATGGCCCCCCTTCTCTGCGAACCGAAAACCCAACAGTAAAGAGCGAAATAGATAGAACGGATCTAATCTTAAACTCACAGCCCAAACCCACACCCCCGCCCTCACACCTTCAGCCCTAAAAACTGAACCCTAAACATCAAAACCCTAAGAATCCCAAACCCCAAACCCTTCAAAAAGGAGGAGGAGCAGCTCTCTTGCTCAGAGTCCGATGCTCCGAATGCTTTGCTGGAGCAGGTCGAGACAAAGGCGATCCTTGGGGTTCAGCATATGGGGTTTAGGGTACAGGGTATAGGGTTTAGGGTACAGTATTATGTTTTCGGGTTTGATGTGGGGGTCGGGTCTGAGCTGTGAGTTTAGGGTCTTTAGAGTGCAGGAACTACATGATCTAGTGGTTGTTAATCGGCGGTTTATGTGATTAGCGTTTTCGACTATTTTATCAGGTTCAATAGGATATATGGTTTATGGCATTCATAGGGTTGTGTATGGTTCCGTAAGGTTGCCTGAGGATTTGTTGTAAATGCTTTGTTCCGCATGGCTCCGCAGATACTTACCGTGAACTTTACGGTAGATTACATGCTAGATTCCACAATTGGTGTTACTTTCTCGTCGACATTGAGACCCTCCGTTGATCCCCGAAGTACATATCTCATATCATTGTCTGCAAACTTGGAGGCAAGCACGATGGAGATTAACCTGGAAGGGGAAGGAGTGAAGGCCCAGCGGGTTTGGGAAAGCTAAACCCTTAAACCCTTAACCGAGACATTGGGGCTGAGGGTTACGTTTCGCGCTTTGGGTTTCAAGGCTACTTTTAATGGCCTTTGGAAGCTTCATGGGCACTTGGAGGGTCGGGGGACTTAGTAACTGGTTATTTTAGGGACTTATAAGAGCCAGGACCCCAATTAGCGTGCCTTTTTAGGGTTCTTATAAGTCTACCTACTACCTACTTACTAAGTCCCCGACCCTCCAAGCAGTGTTGTTGAGAACCGTGAGTCTATCCAGATGGCAGCGCTTCTGTTCTCGGTCCAGTATCAGTAGCGTACTTGGAGGTTCATAGGTAGCTTTAAGTGGGGTCATAGGTCCCGCAATCTGGGTTAAGTATCATTATATTTTACTTACTTATAACCCCAAACAAGACTACCCACGAACCTCCAAGCATGGCATTCCCTCCGAGGCCCTCCAAGGAAAGGAAAGCCCCCCTAGACCCTCAAACCCTAAACCCAAACCCTTAACCCCAAACCGTAAACCCTAAACCTTAAAACCCTAAACCCTAAACCCTAAACCCCTAAACCCTAAACCCTAAACCCTAAACTTATCCCTCAGCCCTAGGCCTCTCCCTGAGGTTTGGCGTTTTTCAGGTTTTGGGCTTTAGGGGGTTGAGAGCTTCAGTCGGAGGCCTCAAAAGGTGGGATGAAGGTGGGTAGGATCAAGGATCCCTTATATAAGGCCTCTTATTTTGGGATTATCCCACCTATCTTCATCCCACCTCTTGAGGCCTCTGATTCAGGGTCTACGGTGGAGGCTTGAAGTTTAGGATTTAAGGTGTAGGAGTTTGGGCTACGGATTTTTATGTTAAGAGAGCAGACTCCAACTGAAGGAAAGCCCCATCTGTATTTAACATTTCAATCGCTGCATGTTGAGTTTGTATAGTTGTTTCCGTTTGTTCGAAGAGGTTTCGGCTTCTTTAGCACAAACCTGAAACGGCATGTCCAAGGAGGAAGCCAACGAAAAGGTGTAAGGCCCTGAGACTTTAACACCCAGAGTACCGCACCTAAACCCTGAAGCCTTATCCTAGACCCTAGACTCTGAAGCCCTAAGCCCTAACACTCTTGGACCCCTGATCCCTAAAGCCTGTTGACATGGCTTACAGACAGACAACCTCTAAAGAACGTCTTGGCACTTCTCGGTCCTTGTTGAGGTACAATCGGGATGTCGAAGATTGTAAATAGTACATTCAAGTTTGGTCAACTCTATAAGAGCCGCACAAGCTCCTTACCCGCCCAGTAGAAATACCCCTCAAAAGCATTTAAGACGAACTTAAACCACGCCGTTACAACCAGAACCTACCAAACACTTCTCAAGCCACTATAAGGAGCCCAAGTATGGCTTAGTCTTATGCTTTGTGAAAACGAACCAAGTCCCTGGCCTTGTGGCCTTGCGTCTGCTCAGGCGGTTGGGCGGGAGTACAAAGGATTTTTAAATCGAAACTCATCACGAAACCGCCTCACTCTGAACCCCTCAACCCCCCAAACCCCAAAAAACCCTAAAGCCCTAAACACCCAAAGCCCCAAAACTAGTAAAGTCATACCTTCTATATAACCTCAACTCTTTCCTTTTGAGCCTTACGCCAAGCTTCAACTCTTTGCTGTTAAGCCTTTCGCCACGCCCATATACATCCTTGCAACAGCTGAACCCTGAACTTAAAGCAACATGAAGCCTGAACTCTTCAAGAGATACCTGAAACAAAGCAGACGAGCTAACAAAAAACAAAGCCCAAAAGCATCAATGCACAAAGACTAACCAACCCTAAATCCTAAAGCCTACACTCTAGCCCCTAAACCATAAACCCTACCCCTTAAAAGCCCTTCAGGAGCTCCGACGAAGCCTGCGGCCCTCCCCGACGCCCTTTGACGAAGGCCCAGAAGATGCTGAGACTTGACGAAGATTAAACGGGTTTTGGAGCTGGGGGTTTAGTGGTTAAGGGTTTTGATTCGAGTTTTCATGACGGTATTGGAGGGTTTTGTGAGGTTTTAGCGTTCTTGCATAATAATTCTGTTTCGACTGATATTTTTCGGGCCAAGGGAGTTGCATTTTTTTGATAGTAAATCCCGAGACCCTGAATCCCTGAATCTCTCAACTCCCAAAATCCCTGAACCTCCGACTTCCTCAAATTCTTAAGCCTTGGCAGCTCAAGTTGACAGTACGCTCTATTGGTTTGGGCTTTTAGGGTTTAGGGTTTTATGGTTTAGGGTTTATACGGTTTGAGGGTTAGGGTTTTGGGGTTTGGGGTTTTAGAGTTGCGGGTGTACGATTTGGAGTTTAGGGTTTCGGTGTTTAGGGTTCAGGGTTTTAAGGTTTAGGGTTTACGGTTTGGGGTTAAGGGTTTGGGTTTTAGGGTTTAGAGTTGAGGGTTTAGGCTTCGAATCATTTCGTTTTGCTGCGCCTTGGCCTTTCTCAACATATTTATGGTAGAAGTACGCCCTCCAGAGCACTCGTCTAATGTGAGGGTATACTGACAGGAGCAGGGAACTTCGTAAATTCGGTCATCTACGATACCCATACGGCCGTACTAAACCCTACTTGGAGGGTCGGGGGACCTAGTAAGTAGGTAGTAAGTAGACTTATAAGTACCCTACAAGGGACCCTAATTGGGGTTGTGGTACTTATAAGCCCCTAAAATACCCAGTTACTATGTCCCCCGACCCTCCAAGTATGCCCTAAACCCTAAACCCTATACCCTTATAGAATCCCTATAGATCCCTTTAAAGGACCCCTTTAAAGGAACCCCTTATAGTTACTAAGTCCCCCGACCCTCCAAGTACTGCCTAAACCGGGCTATGCTTGTAATTGCAGTGGGACCTCGAATCCTCTTCTTCCCACCCAGCTTCGCCCTTGACCCACGGACCTTCGAGAAAAAGGGCTTACGGTTTAGGGCGTAGGGTTTAGGGTTGAGGGTTTAGGGGTTTAGGGTTTAGGGTTTAGGGTTTAGGGGTTAGGGGTTTAGGGCTTAGGGTTTAGGGTTTAGGGCTTAGGGTTGCAAGAGCTTGAAATGAGATCGCTTTTGCATGCCCGATCTGGGAGTGTCCGATTACTAGGGGTACCTAATTTTGTGGGCCTTATAATAAAGATCTCGCTATTTCGGGTACCATCCTATTTTGGGAAACTCCCATATAGCTATAATAGTAGAATGTACCTCAGAGATCGGTTCTCTTCGTTAAGTTTACAGTGCGGCCCTAAGGGTCCAAGCACCCAAGCCTGCCAAAAGTGACGCTTAAAAGCCGCTTCATTTGGGCACTTGAACCCTTGAGGTATAGGGTTTTGGACTTCAAGTTTGTTACACTCCAGGGCTCGAGCTTGAGACCTTCAAGTTTGTTCATTTAAGGCTCCGTGTCGCCTGCATCATTAGGGTTTGGGACTCTTAGGGTTCACGGTACGGGTTAACGATTAAGGCATGCAGTAATTTGGGTTTAGGGTTTATAGGGTTTAGGCATGCAGTAATTTAGGGTTTACGTTTGTGTGTTGGTTTAAGGCCTTTAGGGTCTGGAAAGTAGTTTACTTTAAGCCCTAAGCCCTAAACCCGACCCGTGAGGGTTTAGGACTTCAGTGCCAAGGAGACCCCGGACGTTCTGGCTGCAAGTCCTGAGCCTGACCATGACAGCGCTGACATGGCAGAGGCAAGAACACTTAGGGCTTAGGGTGTACAGGGTTTAGGGTATATAGGGTGTAGGGTATGGGGTTCAGGGTTTAGGGAACGTTTCATTTTAGTTTTGCAGTGGCTTGGGGGTTTGTAGACATAGCTCCTTGCAGCCATCGAGCCAAACCCCTTTTTTGAACCCTGATATAGGGGCCTTAATAATTAGAATAGGGTTTGAGGGCCCATTATGCTGTAATTAGATCAAGGAACCTCCAAAATAGTATCGGAAATTATGGTATATTCCTACCCTAAACCCTAAACCCTAAACCCTAAACCCCTAAACCCTAAACCCCTAAACCCTAAACCCTAAACCCCTAAACCCTAAACCCTAAACCCTAAACCCTAAACCCTAAACCCTAGGCCCCTGTAGTAAACCCTAAACCCTAAACCCCTAAACCCCTAAACCCCTAAACCCTAAACCCTAAACCCCTAAACCCGTAAACCCTAAGCCCTTCGTCCAAAAAACTCCGACATCCCAGTTCTCTTCGTCGTCCTCCCAGCTTCCAACATGTCACGCGCAAGAGGGCTCCACATGGGATGAATGGCTTGAGGTACCGGTTGATGATATAAATCCTGCATTACCTTAAGGACCCTAAACTATGGGAATTATGGTATATTCCTTCTTATGGGTAGTGCAGGATTTATACCATCAACCGTACTTGAAGGGGTATCTTTAAGACAGCTGTTCAAATTTCCTGCAGCCCCGAGTGAAGTACATATCATATATGTGGATGTCAAAAGTATGGTCCCTTTTTGGGTCCCTACTACAGTACGGCACCTAATTTTCAGGGTACCCCAAAAAGGGACCCTAATTTTGACCACTACCCATATAACCCTCCTTGCAAAGTATTCGGCGGGAGGTTGACATTTTCAGCAGTCGAAACCCGAAACGCTCAGCAGCCCCGCAACTCGGAGCATGAGCGCCAAACTTACTTGGAGGTTCATGGGCAGTTATAAGTGGGGTTATAAGTCCCCGAATATGGGGCTATAATTATAGTTCCCCTACTTAGAACCCGACTTATAACCACCCATGAACCTCCAAGTAGATCCAGGACACCGGTTCGTCATCGGATTTCGGGTTCGGAGAAAACAGTACAAACAATGCAACCTCACGCGGCACATCCCCAAGAAAGCGGGCATATGTTTACGTGCGCTGTAGTTTTGTATGTTTGTCTGCAAATTTGAGCGTCGTGCACACAATGCTAGTCATGTGTACAGCTACCGAAACACGTGCAGGTTCATGTGCATAGGCATGTACGTGCGCAGGCACGCCAGAGGCACATATGAATGCGCCGGTACATGCTGTTTCGTACAACGGCCGGCATGGTGCTCCTTACCTACTTGGTCCCGGGGCTATCTCGTATCACCTGGGTGTTTTACGCATCTGCAAGGCGTCTACTTCGGGGAACGCATTATAAACGTTATATCATCTTATCAAGCTCTGTATCTTCACCTTCATATTCTTCGGCGTCCGCAGCACGCTCTCGCATTTGTCAGTGTCAGTGGGCTTGTGCGCGCTCATCTTCGCACTAGTGTGTGCTTGTGTATTGCAGCTTATGTATTAGACATCTGTATACATATGCACTGGTGCGGTCTGTGCCTGTCGGTTTTTGAAGCCCAAAGAGTCTTCTGCTCACATCTGCGTCGCACAGGACTCGCGCAGGGTCACGCGGGACTCGCGTAGGACTATAATATAGCGACCTACTCACCACCCATTTTTCAGGGTTGCTTTTCATGCTTCCGTGGCGGGTTCAGGCATCCTCTCAGTCTTATACTAGTAGCATGCCACGTTCAAATCCCAGCGTCTACTTGGCAAACGCACTGCTTTCTTATCTTGGAATGCTTCCAAATGTAGTATATACCTCAGCGTCCGCAACAAATCCGGCACTTTGGCCTACCTGCTGCGTGCTTCTTGAAATCAGCGTCTACATGGGGTTTAGGTAATTCTGATGTGTAAATTTCCCGCTGATGTGTATTCTCCCTAAACCAGCGTCTGTCGGCATTGATGTGTATTCTCACCAGCTGATGTGAGATAACCCCAGCGCCCAGTACGAACTTCTGACTATGACTATGACTACGAGGAGTACTTGGAGGGTCGGGGGACTTTGTAACTAGTCATTTTAGGCACTTATAAGTACCATAACCCCAATTAGGGTCCCTTTTAGGGTACTTATAAATCTACTTACTACCTACTTACTAAGTCCCCTAAAGACCCTCCAAGAATTGAAGCAACGAAGCTCTTGTCTCGACTTTTCATTGCTTCCCTCGCCAGGCGATGTCGGCCCCGGCCCCTGACCCGCTTGAGCCCAGTGGCACTGGGTCAGCACTGGAGATGCCAACGGATGAGGACCCAATGTAGAAGCCCAGATAATGTCGTTTCGCCCGGGGGTTTCTGATTGTAGTTATAGCATGAATATGCCGCAAAACCGAATTTCAAATTGTGAAGGAGTTAGAAGTTGGGTTACAAGTAGCGTAACTATAATGACAGCCAAATTAGGGGACTTCTAACCCCATTCACAACTAACCATGAAGCTCCAAGTAAGAGTTGGGGGGTGAGGGGGTGCAGGTTAGTGTGGAGGCCCACAGTTACTATGCGGGCCGGGGTCGGAATAGTTAGTACTTAAATCCCAATCCGGGAAGATCCCGTACCTGGAAAGGACCCTTCAGACGTATGAGTAGTATAGGGTCGCAAATTGGGGTTTAGGGTTTAAGGGTTTAGGGTTTAGGGTACTGGGTTGCTAGTGTATAGTAGGTCCGACCATGCTAAACCGGTATGCTCAGGTTCGCGTCTGCTTCCCGTGACTCATAATAATGCAGCCCTACTTGTGCTGGTTCTGCGCAAACCCAAAGCCCTAACATCCAAACCGTTACATCTTAAACGGATAAGAAAAGCCCTGTTATTGTGGTTCCTTTTCGCCAATCTCATATTTTAGGATCCTGATCAAAGAATCGTCGCAACTGCAATGGATACTGCAGGTAAAACCCTCATAAACCCTAAACCCTGAGAATCCTTATCGCAGTTTCGGAGTTCCTTCGAGGATGTCCTGCCGGTACCTCCTTGTCACTTGGCTTTCCTCGCAATCAACCATGAGCAGTGTCAGGGGAGAGTTTGGGGCCCAGACCTTCCAAAATCCCTTAATTTAGGAATATACTTCAAATTACAGTAGGATCCCTAATATGATTTAAGGAATATTCCTTAATTAAGGGATGTAGGAAGGTCTGGGGGGTTCGGCCTTGGAGTCTGACGAACTGGCAGTATGGTACCTTACAGTCCCGCCCCCAAACCCACTGGTAGACCCCAACACTTCCCTTTTTGTCTCCAAAACACCCTTTGTAGTCCCCAACAAGGCTGATCAAGAATCCCAGCGTTCCTGCTTGTTCACTTCAATATGTTGTGGATTTTTTGAGATCCGACCCCTAACGCCGACATGAGCAAACCCCCGAACCTCTCAACTTTACCTAGTCCCTAAACGCAAAGCCACAAAAGAATGGGTTTAAGGTTCTTGAGGCTTGTCTCTCGCGCCCCAAACCCAAATATCCTGAACATATCCGCTTAATATGCTACCCACGAACCTCCAAGTAGAACCTAAACCCTATACCGTTATAGAATCCCAATAGACCCCTTTGTTTTGAGGCCAAAGCAACCGGAGCTCCCACAGCTCCACGAGCTCTGTGCCGCGCTCTTCCGGCTCTGGGCCGCTGCCGAGGCTACTTCCCGAATTCGAGGCACCGAGCCTTCTTGCAGTGTAAAAAACGATTTAGGGGTTTTAGGGTTTTTAGGGTTTAGGGGTTTAGGGTTGAGGGTTTAGGGGTTTAGGGTTGAGGGTTCAATGATACAGGGTTTAAGGTGCTTAGCCTTGTTGAGGGTCTTGCGGTTCAATGTCTTCTGTCTGAGGATCTTGTTGATTCCGCTTTGGGTCTCCGAGCCTTTTGCTCTAAACAAGCCCGAAACCCTAAACCCATAGGTTCTGGGCTTCTTATCATCGGAGCCACTTATATCCCGTATAGCCCTTGCGTACTCATGGTATAACTTACCCCCCAACAAACCGATTCTATTTGTTGAAATCCGCTGTATTTCCTAAATATGGTTAGCGCCCATACCCCCAAAATCCTATTCTAACTATGGCCTCTACCCTAAACCCAATATGCCCTGTGTACCCTACACCCAAAACCCTAAACCGCCTATGCTATACTTGGAGGGTCGGGGAACTTTGTAACTGGTTATTTTAGGGACTTATAAGTACCATAACCCCAATTAGGGTCCCTTTACTACCTACATACTAAGTCCCCCGACCCTCCAAGTAAACTCTAAACCCTAAACCCTAAATCCCTAAACCCTAAAACCCTAAAGCCCTAAACCGCCGATACTGTATGAAGCACGGTGAGGCCTCCAGTTCCGACAGCAGCCCTGCAAACTCCGTCGATCGGGCCGTCCATGAGTTCTGGCGAGACTTCTGTGAGCCTTGGCGCAGATTTAGGGCTTAAGGGGAACTCCAGAAAGTTGGAATATGGCTTCAGGGTAGGATACCTTATGATTTACCATAAAGGCTTTAGGATAATCATATTCCAACTTTCTGGCTTTTACTTCAGGGTTTAGGGTTTATAGGGATGGCGAGACTTCTGTGAGCCTTGGCGCAGAAGTGTGGGGGCTTTCATAGGATTTGTATGATTTGTTTAAAGGGTTTGGTATGGTTATATATATATATATATATATATGGGCTTTATAGCTCTGAAGTGTCGGGTTTGTTCAGGACTTTGCAGTGCTTTACAAGGGGGGTTTGCACGGAACTCACAAGACCGTTGTCGGTTTCGTAGGGTTGTGGAGGGGCCTTACGGGGATTTCTGTGAAGGCTGCTCCCGAAATCCGAACTCGAAACCCTAACTAATATAGAAGCCTATTTTGGAGTTAGGAGGTTGAGGCTTTATAGGGTGTATAAAACCGGACCCTAGACCCCCTCCTAAGTTCATGTTAATATATATAGGGTTTGGGGGAACTCTACTCCTTGCGCCGGATTTAACCGCCTTGGACGCTGCGCTTCCGAAGCCCTCGCACGCATGGTCTTCGGGATAGTGGAAGGTATGCAGTTTAAGGGTTTATAGGGTTCATGATTCAAGATTTACCCAGACGTCGAACGTACTTCAAGCCGGGACCGCTTTAAATCGAAAATCGGATGCCGCGTATGCTTGAATTATTGTTAATTGTTTCAAGTTTCAGGCGTGTCAATCATTTGTGCCCCAAATTATGTCAAGCTCGAGTCGGATCGAAAACACCTACACCCTGAACCCTATAAAGTGAACGATGCAGGTCGAGTCGGATCTACCACCTGGATTCCTTGCAGATGCTGCATCACCGTCCTGTACTGCCGCGGACCTGAAAGGGGCTCCGGCGTCCTCGAAAGTAGAGGGCCTCGCGTTGAGGGTTCAGGATTTCGGATTTGGGGCTTTGCGTTTAATAATGAAGGCTTCGGATGAGGGCATAAGGTGTAAGGTTTTGGGTTTAGGATTTCGGATTTCGTGTTTAGGCCCAAGTTTGGTGGGTGTCGAGCTTAAAGTTAGTTGTCAGAGGTTGACAGGGGGGTTGATACCCCTCATAAGGAGGGAGCCCGGTGCTACAATCAACGGGACTTCGAGTCTTGTTGGCTTCCATCGCAGCTGAACAAGTAGCCTAAAGTCTCTCTGGGGATATCTGATATAACCCTCTGTAGAAATCAACACTTACACTCGCTTGGGCTTATGAACTCGGCAACTTTAAAGGGAACTCCAGAAAGTTGGAATATGGTTTCAGGGTAGGATACCCTATAATTTGAAACGCTGCGCGTCGTCCGCCTCGGCCCGGCTGTACGCGCATGCGGCGGGTGGCTACTATCTGCAGCAAGCTCTTGTAGGAAAAAAGTAACAGTTGGAATCGCACTTATAGTAAAAAATGTTCATAGCAACACGAAGCAGGATGATTATGAGTAGTATTAGTAGTGGTAGTATCAGTACGAATTTTGGTGTCGTCATTCCGAAACACTGGATACCAAGACTCTCGCAACGGCGGGATGCCTTAAGTATGGGCCGTTGAGGCTGTGAAAATTCCCAGAAAGCTCGCACCTGTCAGCGAGGGGGGGAGGGGCGGGAGAGGGGGGCGTCGTGCTTTCGGGTGCAGGTGTTGTCCGGGCTTTGAAAGTTTTTCAGGATGGGGTTAGGGTGTAGAGTTAGGAATTCAGGTTTGAAACTCCCTTGGTACTGCAGCCTTACAGGCGAGCCCCAATTTTTCAGGCTGGGGTTAGGGTGTAGGGTTAGGAATTCAGGACTCGCTTGGTACTGCAGCCTTAAAGGCGAGCCCCAACACATAAAGATGCTACATTGCAGTAGCGTGTGGTCGAAAACTCCAGAAAGCTCGCACCTGTCAGCGAGCGGAGGAGGGGCGGGAGGGAAGGGGGGAGGGAGGGGGGGGGAGGGGGGAGGGGAGGGGAGGGGTGGAGGGGGGGAGGGGGGAAAATTGGGTGGGACTGCCCACAACCCAAGACCCAAACCACTAAGCCGTGTGAAAACGAGGCAGGACTGGGGATGTTGCATGGATGGGTAGTTAGTTATACGTTGGGGTATATGTAGGGTAACCATAAATCATATCAGGGGGACTTCTATCCCCACTTGTAGCTACCCATGAACCTCCAAGTAGGCCCTAAACCCTATACCATTATCGAACCCCTACCTACACATCCCTTTAAAGGGGCCCTTAAAACACCCCTCAGAGTCTTCACAGAGTAGCCCCGATTTCCTGAACCCCCTTTCAGCCCTGAACCCCAGATCCGCCTCAGCTGCCTCGCCCGTAAGTCCCCCATTCGGGTGGTTGTCAAAATTAGGGTCCCTTTGTGGGGTACCTTAAATACTAGGTGCCTTATAATAATAGGGACCCAAAACGGGACCATAATTTTGACAACCACCCATCCAGAATCCCGAAACCGCAAATCATGGCTATGCAACTTGGCATCTGTGTCATAGTGGCGGGACCTGGTTAAGAACCACAGTTGTTGTGCGTTAGTGCTGTTACCTATGGACCTTCCATTTTTGTGTGTATTGTACTGTTCCGAGAATTCGAGACAGGTGCCGAAGGATTTTGTATCAGGTTCTTATGAGGATTAGAAACAGGTGATGAGGGGGCTTCTGTATCAGGTTCTTGCATCAATCGCATGGCAAGAAAATTTTATGCATGCCCGTGAAATATGGCCTTAGGGGCACCGCATGTTGGGGTCATTATAATAAGGATCCTACCATTTAGGGTACTATATTGGGGTCCTCTATTTTCGGAAACTCCCATATGCTTCCTGAGAGGACTGGCAGAAGGCTGCGCGTCGGACCTCCTCAATGTCCTTAGAGGCTGCGGGCCGCACGCCCCGGCCCCCACCCGAAGCTTTAGATCTCGCATCTCTCTCTCTCTTTCTCTCTCTCTCTCTCTCTCTCTCTCTCTCTCTCTCTCTCTCTCTCTCTCTCTCTCTCTCTCTCTCTCTCTCTCTCTCTCTCTCTCTTTTCTGCGTCTCTCCTTCTATGTACCTATCTCTATCTCTCTCTCTCTCTCTCTCTTTTTTTCTCCCCGGCACCAAGCCCTGAAAGAAACCTACCGCCGACTTCACCCGGAAAGAAGGGAAGCTACTATCTTATGCTAGTGGCTATGGTCATAAAGAAGACTCCCCATTTAGTTTGAGGAGTTTTGTTCAAGTGGGGGTCTACATCGTTTCTTCGCGTACTTCAAAGGTTCCAAGTTGGCTGGGAACATTCAATTTGCCGACACCCTGCATGGGGCTCCAGATTTTCTGATGCCTAGCAATACCTGCCAGAAGCTTGAAACCTCACTAGAATGCCTTAACCTTTCCCAAGGTATGTTTCAATGGCTTGACACTGTCAGTTCTGAGTACGGCAATCAGAGGAAGATGGACGGCCCCTAAATAAGCAGCCTGTCCCCGCAGTTCAGTGTAATCATCGAAGCCAAAAGCAGAGAAGGCTGTTGAAACCCTAACCAGCTCTAACACCACCTAAACCCTAAACCCCAAATCCTATTGATTAAACAAATCCCTAAACCCTCAGGAGCGAAATAGATATAAGTTGTGGGTCTTTGTTAACCTTGAAGAGCCCCAACCCCTAGCCCTAGCCCCAACGCTCGGTACCAAAACTTATCGGCACCCTAAACCCGAAACTCTAACCGTTACCCTTACTCCCTAAGCCCTGAACCCTTTCCCCCTTAATTGAGCCCTTAAACCTTAAGCCCTAAACCTTTAAGAGTGTCTATGCACCGCCAGGACGTCACTCAACCGCTTGCCTTGGACCCACGTCGCGCCTGGAGTCACGAACTCCCCGTGCAGCACCGGCGGCGGAAAGCCTCCATGGCCAAGGATTGCGTTTTAGGGTTTAGGGTTTAGGGTTCAGGGCTAGTTTAGGGTTTAGGGTTTATAAGGTTTAGGGTTTAGGGTTGGTTTAGGGTTTGGGGTTTATATAGGGGGTTTTGTTTTGAAGTTTGAGGTGGTTTTAACAGCGGTGGGGTTTCTCGAACCCTAAATGGGATGCAGGGGATGCATACGGTTTGAGGGCATCGGGATCAAAGTTCGGTTCTGGAAGCTTTTCCGGATGCGGGGTGTAGGGCTTATGGGGTTTATGGCATGGTTGAGTTTGTGCTTTTTTACTTGATTTGAGGTGGTGGCTCTCAGCGGCTGAATGGTTTGAGGAAATCTATAGAGAGTAAATCAACGAATCGCCGCTACCCGTACATCTCGCTGTCTGTATTGATACCCTTTGCAAGACACTTGATGAAACTTTTTGAGAGCCAATACAAGCCCTTACAAAGACCTTACAGGACCCTGGTATACAGCCTCAGTGCGATCCGTGCCAGGATCGTACACTCAAGACAGGAACCTCTAGCTATAAGACACCCGGATTGGGCGTTTAGGGTTATCATATGACCATCGAACCTAAACCCATGACCCTGCACCCCATTTCGCGCCGCCCAGGATAACACAAACGGTATGAAGCCCTCACACAGCCCTGACATCCCTAAGCCGAGCCCGAAACCCGAAAACTTTCTCTCGGACTCTGAAACCAAGAAGTGGCCTTAAACAAAAAGGACCCCGAGTGGAGCTTGGAAAGCTTGAGCGCTGCTGAGTGGGAGCTGATGGCTGCGTGTGTGCCCGAACACCAAGGTGCATGATGTCTTGCTGTGGGTCTCCATAGTTGGAAGTTAGTTGGGCAGTTATAAGTGGGGTTATAAGTAGGGTAACTATATTTAAACCGATATTAGGGGACTTATAACTCCTCTGTTAACAACCCATGAACCTCCAAGTAGATGGGTTTTTGGGGACGGTGATTTCGGAGTTTAGGTTGTCGGATGTTTTTGAAGGGGGGAGGATGGAATGGCATGTTGGGTTCATAACGCTTTTTGGGCGAGTCTTTCCAGGGTATCTATATGCTTCGCTATCGGGACGTTAAAAGCGTAGTTCGAGGGGTTGGGATGTTTCGGGGTTGTCTCTGGCTGATGGATTTTATTACCAAAGCCCAAACCCATTTATTACCAAAGCCCAAACCCAAACCCCTAAACACAAAACCGTACAGGCCCTACAGTACTTAAAGGATCATGGGACTTAGTAAGTAGGTTATAATTGGGGTTATAAGTCCCCTAAGTGGGGTTATCCTAGTGAAAACCTACTTATAACCTTACTTACTAAGTCCCATGATCCTCTAAGTAGACATTAGGCCCTAAGCCTTCAGCCTCTTAGCCCAGGCTCTGTTTGCAGGGCTCTTGGTCATGTTTGCGGTGGTTTGTTATGGCCCCTTGTATAGGCAGCTCCAAAGATGTTTTTGCTTGGATTCGGGGGTGTTGCAGAACTCCTAAGTCTTCTTTGATTTAGGCTCTAAGCGCTTTCAGTGTTAATTGTGGCCTTTAGGTTTGGGGTTTTTTCGAGTGGCGATGGAGGGCTGAGGGGTTATCGGGGGCTGTTTCGGACCTGTTCAGGCCGTGCATCCTGGGTTTGATGATCGTGGGATTCGTGTTCAGGGCTTCCCACAGACTCCAAAACTCCTTTAACTAATTAAGGAATATACCTTTAGTCATAGTAGGGTTCCTGGCTTGGGTCTGGGCTTGCTTTGTGTCGTTGGATTGCGGGATGCTGCTGTGGAAGCACTATGGGTGGCTAAGGGAAGTTTAGGGCGTCTTGTCGGTGAAGTTTCGCCGCAATAGCCGCTGGCAGTGCGAAGCCCTTCACAGTACGCGCGCTGAGACTCAAACCTGCCTTGCCCAGACCCCCGGGAGGATCTAGAAAGTAGATCCCCTACTTTGGGGCCCTATACTACTAAGGGTACTTTATAGGAACCCCCATTAAGGGATCTACTTTTTGGATCCTCCCGGGGGTCTGGGCAACGAAGACAAGCCCACCAATAGCCCATTCTGCACAGCGGCTCCCCAGAAACTCCAACACCCCTTGATTAGGGAGTATCCCTTCAATTATAATAGGATCCCTAATAGGATTTAAGGTATTTTCCGAAATTAAAAGGGGTATTGGAGTCTCATCCAGGCAAGTCCTGAAACAACCCTTAAATCCTAAACCGAAAAACCCAAAACCTAAAACCCTAAACCCCCCAAAAACCCTAAAGCCCTCTAAACACCCAATTAAGGGGTATTGGAGTCTCTGGGTCCAGGAAAGTACCGAAACGATTCTACAAAGACCTTAAACCCCAAACCCTAAACTATAATTTACCATAGAAGTAATAATATCCTCACTTTCTGGCTTTTACCTTATGTCTAGGTTCCTCAGTAGTACCCTTTTGCCCTTTTTCTTTCTGGGTCTCCTTATTAAAACCGAACCTAGATATGGGTTAAAGTAAAGAAATAACTAAGCCCTAAAACGTGGCAACAAGTCCAGGAGACAGTGCTTCTTTGAAGAAGCGCTTGCTGGCACCGGTGGCATGCCTCTGGGGCTGCACAGCGAATTGGAGAGTGAGGTTCGCAGAGACTCCAATATCCCTTAATTAAGGAATATTCCTTAAATCATATTAGGGATCCTATTATAATTATAAGGTATATTCCTTAATTAAGGGGTATTGGAGTCTCTGGGTTCTTGAGTTGTTTTCAAAACGTCCGAGGTTCATGTCATAAGGCTTTCTTGGCGACTTAGAACCTTAGTAGCGGAGTGGATACACTTTAGACTTTTTGGGGTAATATTACCCACTATAGAACTGAAAGTGTACACTTTTCGGGGGCTTGTGGCCGCAGAAATCGGTCGAGAGCCTCCCTACGAGTTGGCCGCAGAATGTGCGCACATGCCGCTGGACGATATGTGGGCAGGCCTTGCGTTGATTTGCCGCACAGGAGCTCCGCAGGATTCAGCGCGAACACCACCGCCATGGAACCATCTAGCTGAAAAGCACTTCCGTTTAGAAATGCACTTTCAGCGAAGCCTAAGGGCCATGGGAGCAGAAGCACATGGCCGAACCACATGCTCGTCTCGATGCATGCAACGTTCGAGAGATTCGAGGAAGAGCTGTCCGTTCTCAATGCAAGATTCGAGCAGAAGCTATGCCTTATCCAGGCAGGTACCGTAACAATCAAACATCATCAGAATATCAGAATGGTTAATCATGCTAATAACGATAATGATGATACTAATAGTAATGATAACATATTGATAAGAACAACGTAAGTCATAATGCCAACAAAAATGATAACAACAATGAAACTGACAATAACAATGACAATAAGGATAATTACAATGATATTCACGATAAATAGTACTGTTAGTAAAATATTGCTTCAAAAAATGCTAAGATAAAAAACATATTACTAATACGAATACAAAACATAAATACTAACACTAATACGAACGAATACTATCTCAGTACGAATAACAATGCTAAGACTAAAAATACGGCCAAAAATAATACTCCTTATTCTCATGACAATATCAAGAACCAATAGCAGTACTAATAATGTGCAAAGTAATACTAATCATAATAGCAATGACACTAATAGTCATAATCATACTAGCCATTATAATATTCTCCATCATCATGATTGTTATAATTATCATAAATATCATAATTATCATAATAGCAATAATACCTACAATAATATCGGTAATCGTAATGCTAAATCTAATGCTAATGCTATTACTACTACTACTACTACTACTACTACTACTACTACTACTACTACTACTACTACTACTACTACTACTACTACTACTACTACTACTACTACTACTGGGCTTTGGAGTACCATACTTTAATACTTTTTGGGGACCTGTTACTTAAAGGGAACCAGCTATGAAATAAAAGTCTATACTTTTTTCTCCCTGGTTACTTCAAAGCCCAGACTACTACTACTACTACTGCTACTACTACTACTACTACTACTACTACTACTACTACTACTACTACTGCTTCGGCTTCAGAAAGGTCTTGCCAGGCCTGGGTTTATTCTTAGTACCTGAGTAGGTAACCTTTAACCTTTTAGGGCGAATGTATTCGTACCATAATTGAAAAGGCTAACTTTATGTGGGCTAGGGTATTCGGTCCCCAAGTGTTTCTCCAGAGCTCTACCAAACCATGGTCCATGCACACAATTTGTTTGTCGACCGGGGTCTTCGCAGTTCACTCATTTGGGCAGACATTTCTTTCGACCCTAAAAAACCTCGCTGTCATGGGTGGCTTCCTTGCAGCTAGTCATTTTCAAGCTTGATGAGCCATCCAGGGTTGTCATGTGTTTGCGTTATTACGGTTTGGGATCTTAGGGTCTAGGGTTCAGGACTTGAGGGCTACTTGTGCCGTAGCTCGATGGGCCTTGCCGGGTGGACACTGCTGGTGTCTATCCGCAGAATGCACACCAGTAATTAATATAGAGGCTTAAACAATTTCCAATTCAATACTATTTTTGGGGTTCCTTATTGGAAAGATAGTATAATGGGCCCCGAAACCTTATTCTAATTATTAAGGCCCCAACGTTATATCATAGACCCCTCTTCCAAGTGCCAAGGCTCCCATATCATGCCCTGGTCGTCGTTGTCGTCATAGCAAGCCGCCGGCATGCTCGACCTCGCCCCGGGTTCGTCCATTGTGCCCAAGGTAACTACCTAGACCCACCAAAGTAGGTAAACTAATGGCCCAAAACCTATACAAGGCTATTATTCGACATACTTTCAGGGTCCGGACAGGACCCAGAGTAGGCCCTATTCCCTTTTTCCCTTGTAAGCCCCTGTAAACCAAAACAGGGCGCCGTTTGTAACTCCGAGGTTACTCTTGGGTCTAGGTACTGATCTCTGAAATGAACCCTGCTTCGCAATAGTCCCGTTGTGTATGACGTAACCAGGACACCTCTATGCACTGGATTCTCGAGGTTGGCCTAGAGACACTTGTAAACCCGCAGACCCGAAACCCCACCACCTACAGACCCAGCAGCTTAAAGCAGCCATGAACCGTAAAATTATAGAATCCTTGATTAATAATGCCTCAAAGCCAAGGGCTCAGGATTTAGTTTCCTGAACCCACGAAGTCATGCTTGGAGGTTCATGGGTAGTTTTGAGTGATGTTATACGTAGGGTAACCATAATAAGAATGATTCTATCGATATTAGAGGGGCTTAAATTATAGTTGGAATCCATATTAGGGGACTTCTAACCCACTTACAACTACCCTAAACCCTGAACCCTATAGAACCCTGAAAAAGGAAT